TGGTAATATCTTTGTCATCTAAAGCTCTCTTAGAAGCCAGACACAGAAAACCACGTTCAGTATCATTATAACTGGGACCCAAAGTGACCTGTCACTAATGCTGATTGGTAGAGAATGTTGGGACAACCGATATCACTCAGCACTGATTAAATCCTGACGATAATAACTGTACAGTACATCACTCATCCATATTCATCAAGCACTGACATGCATCTGTTAAGTAATCACAGCAGGGGGAAATACAGACATGGGTGTGAACAATGTCAACAATACTGTATAATGCGCTTCAGTAAAACGCAAGCAATTTAAGTAATGAGATTGCTGCTGTTTATATAGACTGATAGGAACGATACATTTTTTTAAATGCTTACATAGCTTTTCAGATTTTCTGTATTATGGGTTATTTTTTACAACAGTCATGGAGATTCTGAGCTGTAACCATTCATCTTACAAGAGCGTTACACCGACACATATGGGGTTTCTTTTAATCTGTTTAATATGTTGTACAAGACAAGTGACATGACTGCAGTCTTTTCTCCAGCTGTACAGATGGAGGAAGGCAAATAGCAGCTTGGCTGAGAAAACACAGGGAGTTGATGGATTGAATAGGGGGCTTTGACCAGCTCTGGGAAATGAGTGGGCAAACAAAACGACAGATTCGTCGCTCTGCTCTTTGCTCTCCCTGATCTCTCGTTATTTTTTTTCCCCCTTTATCAGCGTTGATGCTCTCAATCTGTCCCAGTGATTGCCTGACGGCATTGTAATTTGCCTAAATTGAGCCATAATGCGTCTCGTAAATTTAATTTTGTCTCAAAACCAGATTAACCCGTATGACAGGATGCACATGTGTATCTGTGCATGTGTGCCAGCATGTGTATACGTGCATTGTGTGTGTTTGTGTGTGTATACAGTATTTGCTTGCCAAGACCCTTAATCCCTTGAGCGTATGCTGAATAAATCAGAGGAGTATTTTTGAGCAAGAGAAAAAAAAAATCCAATCCCTTCAAACACTGCCCATGGATGCAACCAGTCATGAGAAAGCCAAACACATGGACAGGCAAAATCAGCAAGTTGGACACAGAACAGGCACGCAAACACACATGAAAACACACACACATACACACACACAAGCACATGTACATTCATTACTAACCAGCTTTGGAGAAAAATGAATACATGTGACCATGTGACAGGACCTCATTACAAATATAGAAACTGCTATTTTTTTAAAAACTATTTAAACTATTTTTTAAACAACCTTAAATATAACTATGTAACAGGCTTATACACATAGGGACAGTGTAGATTTGGTTGATTTTTATGATCTTTGTTAATTTCTCCTAAAATATACCCATAAAGGGGCAGACTTATTTAGTAAACCAATTTTCATCCAAATTTTAGACCCCACCCAAAGGTTTTTTTGCTGAAAGAAGATGCTGACCAATGCAGTTTGCAGTAAACAATGTCCTCTTGCAATGAGGACAGCTCCAAAAATCTCGCAATAACACTAGGTGAGGAAAAAACTGTGGAGCAAACGCATATGTGCTGCTTATTATGCATCTCCAAGTACTGTCAGGGAAAAAAACAAAAAAAGGAAAGGAAAGGTAAAAATATAGAGTGGTTAAATTTGAATGGTGCAGATTTTTGCATTTTTTAAATCTGTTTTTTATATCTAACATATAAAAGGTCAGTGAATTCACAGATTTCTAAAAATATATACAGTAAGATCTTTCATTCTCACTCTCTATCAAACATGAGCAAGCAAGTGATGCCTCACACTGACACTGACACACACACACACATACCATCTCCTTCCATCATCTCACCTCTCCTATACTGTCAGTGGCTTGACATTTTTCCCTGGAGAGTGAGCTTAGCAGGCCTGGTCAGACAGACAGTCCGACAGACAGGTAGGGGTTATTAAATATGTATTGCAGTGCAGTGATAGGACACCGGGGGCCATTAGCTATTATAAATATATAATTTAGCTCTGCTGCATATTTCAGCCTCCTGGGTGAATGGCACCCTAGCATACAAGCCTTCTGATTAGCATCCCAATGCTAAAATGCATCTCAATTAGACTGAGTGTCAGCCCTCATTTGGCGAGGCAGGGATGGAGATGGATTGGACCAATGTATAAATGAACAAATAAATAAATAAGCCCCGTGCCAGAGCATGGAGAGAAGAGAGCAGGGGGGGGTTAGGTATCTCTGACCAACAGCATGCAGGTTTCCTGATAGACTGTGTGTGAACAGGCCTCAAACTTTAATCACTTTTGGACTGTTTAATACCAAAACAAGGCCAGTCTCACAAACTCTTATTTTTTCGCCCTCCCCAAGCTATTTTGTTTTCTCTCAGCAACACCATCCACTTGTTCTCTCCTCTCTCTTTATGCGTCTCAAATCCCTTGTTCCTACTTTTTAAACCAGCCTTTGTCTCTTCCCCACTCCTCTGTCATCCATCTTTCCCATCCCTTTACGTATCACGCTGCCCCAGCCCCAACTTTACCAATCATCATGTCATCCCTCTTCCCTCTTTTCCTGGTCTCAATTTGTTTTTGTTTTTTTGCAACAATCCTTCCTGTCTCCTCTGTCTGTCTTCCCCCTCCTTTGCAAATGAACTCCTCTATCTTCCATGCTTTCCTCCTCGGTTTTGTCTTATCTCTTTGGTCTCTCCACTACCTCTGCCTAACTCCATCTCCATCATTTTTGCATTTTAAAAGTTTTATTCAAAAAGAGACTTCCAGAATTTCAAAAATGCCAAACACTCAAAATGACTCTTGGCATGAATTCAAAACACCTTTCCAGCTATGACTGGAGCCAAAAGTAATTTCCAAACATTTGCTTCCACAATAGTTGCAGGACAGTCATCTCTTTTTTATTAATAGACTGATAATTCAAAGTTCTTTGTTTGTCAAAATTGATATATAACATTTTGGCATGCTGGCCTACATTCCTTTGATTTTTTTTCTCTTTATCCAGCTCTCTCTTTCTCTACCTGTCGTCCCCATCAGTCCAATTCCTTTACTTTCATCGCTTTCCTCATTCTCCCTACTTCCTCCATACTTTCCTGGTGACAGAGTGTGACTCTGAGCGTGTTGACAGCTAGCCAGAGGGCCAAGGCTGTCGTCTAACCCCCCGGGGAATCAATCATCTGAGCCAGGATCAATACCAAAGGGCCGTATCCTGGACCGGCTACTGACTTAGCTGGCAGCAACTGACTGATGAACGGACCCACTGCTACACTGGACAAAAACAATATTCAAGGCAGCGCACACACCCATTTAGCATGCACCATTGCACAAACAATGAAATGCACTTACACGCACCCAGATATAGTGTCATCAGTCACTCTTAAACAAATACATACAAATGTGTTTTCAGGCTGTGTATGAGAATGCATTCATGCACACATGGAGCAATGTCCATGATATGACTGAATCTGTCCAGCACCTATCCCATCCAAGCCCCACTCCAACCAATTACTGTCTCCAAATTTGGTCTATACCACAATCACTCAAAGTCTACTTGCAATTCTTCCGTTTGCACTGCAGAGGCCCGATTACAGGCCCTCTTAGCGAGTCTGTATTATACGGCAGCAAAATATTAGCCCACTCCATCCATCACCGTGTGGTCCTATGCAGTGGAAACCACCGCTTATCAGCCCACTACAAGCAAGTTAGACAGACATAATAGTGCTGAACAGAGGTAGGGGCTGGATCATTGATGTGTAGTGCACTAAACGTACGATACAGACAAAATCATATGTCCCTTGCAATTATGCCAAGTCTAGTGACAAGTTAATGACAGCAAAACTGCAGCGTTCTGCAAACACTTCTTAACAGCTTCAAACATTAGGTGATATTCTTCTTCTCATTGGCAGACAAAAGGTATCACCTGTGACATTAATATGGATAACACTTATCTTTCTCTATATTCACCAACAGCCACTGAGGCGTGAACAGTATACTCATTTTTTGCTCGCAATAAGGTTCATGGACGTTTTCAGTCTGGGTGGAGAGGGAATGTCAATGCCGCAAGGACAAAACAAACCATCAGACACTGCCAATGACTTACAAATATCTGTTTAGCTCAATGTTATTTTAGCCTCAAGACTGTTCAATCTCAGCAAGCGTGACTTGGAGTGACCTTTATCATCAGCAGAGAAGTACACTAAAAGGTGCCACTTGTGCTGATTGTAATAAGACGATATCTGACTGGGGTACATTGCACTGATTGTAATGTCAGTGTAAGTGAACATAGCAGCACTGAAATTGTGTGTACAGCATCAACATCAAATATCCATATTGTTTGCTTTATCTGAACAGAAAATAGCCCCAGAGTAAAAGTAAGTACCCATATCTTATATATTTGAATGCTAGCCAAAGAAGCAGATAATTAGGTAGCTTTATCCTGTATTTTTTTAAAATCTACTATACAAATAAATAAGGTAAATCAGGTAAATTCAAAAATAAAAAGATTGTGATTGTGTCTGGTCCAGTCAATTTTATATAAAAGAAACTGATTTGATTTGAATTTGAGTGTGCGTTGCAGTAAACCAAATAAAACATAAATGCATAAACACCAGTGTCTCCTTTCACCATTTGGCTGATGTTTTTATCCAGAGTGCTTTATTGGATTGCCCTACAGGGAATGGAACATTACCCTTGCAGTATTAGCGCCACACTTTTATCCACTGTGCTGTATCAAGATAAAACCTTTAAAGCAAAGCAACTCCCTTACTGGTCATAAAGTACAGTGGGAACAGCTGTCTGCCCAGTCCTGTCGTTGGGCTGGAATTACTCACTGTATAATAGACCTTTTAATGGTATCTCGACCTTTAAGTGATAAGCAACTAATGCTCTGTAGGATTTCACACAGAAGTGGTTGGCAGTTGTTTGGTACTGTGCACGTCTGTGATTGGTTCTTCACACAACCATTAAGTCTGCCAATGGTTAGTAGATCAGTGCTGAGGCCTGTAACTGGAAAAAAATTACACACCTTTTTTCTTGAAGATTTGGCTGCTGACAATTTCAGTCATGGAGGCCACCTTCTGCTTCTGGAGTGTCTCAGGGGGGATGCAGGAATAAAAGTCATGCAGCAACTGACTGGAGAGAGAGAAAGCAATAGGCGGTGGAATAAATAATCAGCAAGATCATTATACGGGAAGAGCAACAAGTTTGTTTTCTTGAAAATGAGCACAATAAATATTCAAGAATTCGTTTCTACAAATTATTGCAAGAGTTTTGAATTTTAACTAAAAAACTCTATTTATACCCACAAACGTAACTGATTCAAAGATCGAAAGCACAAACCTATTTTACTAAGTGAAGTTTTAAACATCAGTGCTCTAAGGTTATACAATATGCAACCACTAAAAGCAATGGTTGTGCAGCATAGACATGAGCAGAGCAGTGACTGCTGCATGAAAACAAATGAGCCAAAGTCTAACCACACTTTAATGAAGACACAGGTTTGAGTCATCCTCCACCCAAAATTCAATTTTAGAATAATTAAACAGGCTGGTTGCAAGCCCTGATGCCACTTAGAAAGATTGAATGCTCAGAGCATGGCAAACCCTCTGTCTCCATTTGTCTCTCTCCCTAAATCATGCCACACAGGTTGCAAAAGCACTCTCAGTAATGGTATGAAAGAATGAAATGCACCACCTCTGCTCCCAAACGCAAACACAACAAAAAGGTTTGTATGACTTTTGATGTGCATAAGCTGGCACAAGGACACGCTGGGGCACAGAGGCTCAGTAGAGACTTATCAGGCCCACTAATCATCTGAGCTGAATTTAATTAAAACCCAAAATATCAGAATATTTCCACATGGAGATGCAAAGGAAACAGACAGCAAACAAAACACATGCATAACGGACAATGTATGTGCTTGTACCACTCTGTGGATCAAACTACAGGTGAGTCTACAAGTAATGGGACTATACAGAAGATGAGACAAAGCTTTGATGTCCACCTCATGCACGTGATTGTAATTCACATAGCTTGCTTTTGGAGACTCTGCCTGAGGCAATTTTGATCAGGAATGCAATAGGGACCTTACTTTCAAGTTTAGATGGCTCGGGTTTGTTTGTGTATGTGTGTGTAAAGAAGTGGAGAAGACAAACAATAAGGGTGAATTAATGTGTGTGTGTGTAGGAGAGAAAAATTGAAATGACAGAAAGTGAGAATATATGCACTGATTTTTAACTCTCTGCTCCTCATCACCTTTCTACCTGTGCATGTGTGTATTAGCTTGTGTCTGTTTGGTGTTAAAGGTAACACCTTTTTGATGCTGTGTTGACACTGAGCCACTCAAGGGACTGAAATGGTAGATGAGAATAATGCACAAGCATACATATCCACACACAAAAGCACACAGAGGTCACAGAAAGGTAAAAAAAGAAATTATGGGAGCGAGGTTGTTTGAAATTGAATGTGACAAGAAGAAGTCAAGAAAACATCAATTAATATGTTATTTCTGTAAAATAATAAGGTAATACCAAGACAATGAATCCATGTTTGGTTGTGGAATTGCTAGAGGACAAATACAGTGTCTTTCCTTTGGAAAAAAAAATGCCCCAACTGGTAAAGTATATACTCTGAGGTCATTTCCTGAGTTAAAGAGTATATCATAAGTTTGATTCTGGGTCAAAGAGAGGTTAAACAAGCCCTTCGTTTTGCTCTTCAGGAGAATAAACCTAAGAGAAGAGGTTCAAATGGGTTTTGTTTGATGGTTTCACTGAAATTGTCAATTCAGTCAAGAGAGCATGGAGGAGGTGCAGATCGTGTTTGAGTGTGTGTCCTTGTGTATATGTCAGTTTGATGAGATTTTTATCACCTGATAAAGAAGGTAAAGCTCGACCAGGATGGAATGTGTGGGTGACAGAAGGATGGGGGTCACTGAACAAAGCCAAGACGAAAACTTGAGCTAAGCTGAAAGCTCCATATATCCTCTCTGTCAGTGTCCCTGAATGAGACCAAAGATAAGGCACTAGTGTGTGTTTGTCTGTGTGTGTATGTGTGTGTGTGTGTGTGTGTGTGTGTGTGTGTGTGTGTGTGTGTGTGTGTGTGTGTGTGTTTGGGTGTTTGTGTTTTTTAAAGGTAAGCTTACCTGAGGAGTTTGGCATCAAACACTTTCTCAACATCATGCAGGACTGTTGGCAGGTACTTCAGAGCAGCGACCTGATGACACACACACACACACACACACACCACAAGTAAACACTGTTTAATGACTGTCTTGAAATCCTGTGGAAGTTGTCGGTGAATGGAAGGTGACTTTGCCATCAAACAGTCTCTCATCACAAGTGTGAGAAAAGGCCTTCTTTATTTTTCACAGGGCCACTTGTCAAAAATGTCTAACATTTTATGACTCGATCTGTTTGTAGGTCCACCAGTAGTGAGAATGAGAGGACATTAAGCATTAATCAGACTGAGAGACCAAGTTTGAGTATAAAGCTGAGACAGGGACAGACAGGAAATAGAAAACAACAGAAGAAGAAGCAGAAAAGGCAGAAAAAGCGGTGAGGATAAGGACAAGTAGAATGTAAAGAGGAGTACTACGTGGTTAAGGATGGGTGAGCGTGTGTAATTACCCTGAGCAGCAGAGTGGTGGTGTAGTCTGTTCTCATCAGGCTGTTGATGGACTCAAAAAGCCTCCTCAGTGACTCCTCAAAGTCTGCCTGCTCCTTCCCTTCGTACAGCCTAGGAGGACAGGAGGAAATTAATGGAAATGCCACAGGAAACACAGAGAAGGGCAGAAAGGGAGAAAGCATGACGTGACATGATTAGCAAGGGAGATGGAGAGAAGGATGAAGGAGGCGAAACACATTAAGAAAGGAATTGAAAGATGAGACAAAATAACAGGGGAGCTGAATAATCAGTGACGGTAAGGTGTGGAGAGACAGATTAAGACACAAGGGTCAAAACAAAGTCAGCTGACAAGAAGCTCAGCTGGGGTTTCTTTTACATTTTTCCTGTGCATCAGAAATATAGACAGATTATTGAGTGAGGTAATAACTGAAACATATGTGCATACAGGTTGGGACCATTGGGACCTTAAAATATGTTATATGTTATATCATGACGGTCACTTCCTGTGACCAGCTGCAACAAAACTGTTTGATCACTTTTACTCTTTTCTCCTCAGGCTCACCGTGGCTCTCTGAACCTCAATGTGATTAGGAAACGTACAGTGCATATTGATTCACATAACTTAACAGTGTTCACAGCTAAGCATAATGTACTTATTGTTGTAATCTTGTTATGGTTGACATTAGGTTACTGGGCAACCCCAGTTCTCTACTACACCACTAAGGTGATAATGTTAATGTTCCACACACAGTCTTTTCAATGCAATTAACCTAAGATCACACATACATATTTACCTCAAATTTGCTTTAAAAACAACGACACACGTGGAGGGGAAACCCAAACCTTCTGCTTCACCTCGTGTCTCAGACCAACGGGTGTTTCATGCTCAGCTGAACATACAGTCAGAACTAAGACACAGACACATTTTTTCTGCCGTGTAACCACATGCACACTCACTCACACACACAGACAGACACACAGACAGACACAGACACACACAGACACAGACACACACACACACACACACACACACACACACACACACACACACACACACACACTTTATGTGTGCTTCCTTTTAATATTTCTTTAATAAATGCTTGTGTATATACTGGACTGTTTAATGTAGCACAAAAGTGGGGGATGCCAGCCTCTTCTATGTAGAGCTCCGAATCCTTCACCGTACCCACTATTGATATGGTAATAGTAATGTGTGGACAATTGTTTTCCCTCCTTTAAGGGTGGTGTCTTGAGGAACTTAGACATGAATTAAAGTTTTCTTTTGTTATTATCTTTGGCAATTTTGATAGCCAAAATTAATTGAATGAACCTACAGTTTGGTGCCCCCTTGAACCATTTTATTTCCCAACAATAACACGAGGGATCGTCATGCTTAATAAGATGATTCTTCATGTTACATAGGTTGTTTTTCTTTCACTAAAACATATACTTATGGAAGCCCTGCCTCTAATAAACAGGTGAGTTTTTGTGTAGCAATCTCACATCAAGACTCACATCAATACATTACACAAAGAAGCCTTGTTTTGTATTGACGCCCCATTGTCTTGCTTTTAAACATTCTATTATTTCTCCACTCCACTGGGATGTAAATTATTCTGCAGCAGTCGATTTTTTAACAGTTTAAACTGATTCCAAGTTGGTAAAGATAGTGTTTTTGAAGTTCAGAGTAATCTACAAACAAGTGAAAATACACCTAACTTCTTGTTTTTTTATGGAAATGGGACACCAACTGAATTGGCTGCAGTTCCAACATCTTGTTTCAATAATATGATTGAAAATGCATTAAAACATGAAGGTGCTATATTGCCCTTTAACACTTAAGTCAATACATTTTACATACGAAGCTCAAAGATCATGAAACCAAAAAGTCATACTGCTAAGTATACATACTATGTGATTATAGAGCTACCCGGTAAACATGTTCAATGCAATACATTCAATTACACTAATGTAGCAAACCAATGCAGTATGACGTTGACAAGGTAAAACTAAACATCAATAGGCACTGACAGCTGTGATTACAACAATCCTCTTCTGACTTGAAAAAAAGGGTTATCTTTGTTGCTGCAATTCACACATAAAAACACCCACACACCGTCTACCATCCCTTCAGTTCCACTTCCTCCACCCCTAGCAAACTTTTCTCTCATCCATCTCTCCGCCCCTTTCCTTTCCCTGTCTCCCCGCAATCTCTGTGTGATTCAGTGAAGCTGTGCAGTTGTTAATTACAATAGAAGATGAGTGCTGGAGGGAAGGATTAGCATGTGGCACACAGCGAATTTAGCATGTGGGGGGAGGGATTAGGTGGTAACACACAGCGGTATTATCACTGGACTCTTTGCAGAGTACAGTTATGATTACAGACGCATTGTCCTGCTTAATCCACGTCCCCGTCTGTGCATTAATGCGCATGTATGAGTGTGTGTGTGTTGTGCGTGGGTAGAGAGTGATGATGTCTAGATGTGTCAGGGTCAGTGTTGGTGTGATAACACCAGTTTATGCACTCCCACCACACATATATGTACACTTAAGTAAAAGTTGTGTCCCATTAGTAGAGTATAGCATGTTACAGCCTGTAAAGTACCACTTTAATCCAACTCAAAAGATGAATGTGGAACTAAAAATGTCCATAGGCTGTTGCCACAACGAATCTACACACACACACTCAGGAACTTAATACCCACACATGAGCATAACAACACAAATATGTCATACTAGCTCAGCAAACTAATACTGGAGACAGATGGAGAGGAGAGAGAGAGAGGGATGAAAGGAAGGCAATCAACGAAGGGGGTGGGTGGGGAGGGAAAGGAGTGAGGGACAGTAAGGCAGAATATGAAGAAAGGAAGAGTGGGAGAGCAAGTACAGAAGGAGGACAGCTCAGCTGCATGTAGTTGTGGATGAGAGGAGGAAAAAGAGAAAAACAAGGCAACACTAAACATGTCCCCCATGAATTATGAAATCCCTGTCTAAGCAAATCAGTCACAAATGTCACCTTGTTAAGATTCATAATTGCCGTTCCTCCCTGGACCAATCAGTAAAACTGTTCAATGCTGTAATTAAGCAGTGAGATACAAGATTTTCTCAGGTTTGGCCAAATTTGAAATGCAGATATTTTGCAAGACACATAGGCGAGTGAATAAGTGGCGCACTGACTAACATTGCTGCAATGCATCAAAATAGTATAATAAACATTACATTGCTCCTCTAAGACTGATAAGTGAAACTTTTAAAAATGTAAACTTGGTGCAATGAGTCACACAATTACCTTGAGTATTATTAAATCCTACTTTGAGTTTATTCATGCAGACAATTAAACAAACATTGGAGACCCCTGGGGCTAATCAGTATTATTCGGACCTGCAAACTCAAGAGTGAAAAAGATGATTTTCCACTATTATTCCAAAGATGAAAATATTACACATTTGATAAGAGTCGTATCAACAGTATATTCCGTTTGGATATTCCTAATTAGGCATCATTCCAAATGGAGCATTTTCCGAATAAGACAAATGTCGCAACCTTAAACTTTTCAAGAAGGTGGTTGAACGAATGAAAGAGGGAGGCTAGGTTGGCAGAGCTCCAGCTGTTGCACTTTTACCACGGGAGCGCAACATGACTGCAGTTTGAAAAGGAGAGAGGGAAAAGGAAGGAAAGTCCTCCGATGGGTGTACAGTACGCCATTAATAATTAGTATAATCGGAGCATGCACAGCTGCATTTAACAGGAATATTAGTGGAATATACCATTTTGAATTGCCATGTAAACAGCTTAGCAGGAATATTGTCTTTTTCGGAATAAGGGCAAAAACTGAAATATGATGTGCATGTAACCGTGGCCAATGTCTAATAAAAGGCAAGATGGACCACAAAATGAGCTGACACACAGGTTGACACACACACATGCATACACACACACACACACACACGGAAGAGAGAGCAGAGAGGTCCAGAAGCAGAGGCAAAGTGGGTGAGATTGAGGACGGGTGAGAAAGAAATGGGAAAAGGGACGGAGGGAGGGAGGGAGGGAGAGAGAGGCACAGAGGGGTGAGAGAGGGGAAGGGGGATCACACACAAGAACATAATTTAGGAGGATCTATGAAGGCACAAACTGAATATAATATTTATAGGTATGTTTTTATTAGTATATAATCACAATCAAAATAAGAATTGTTGTTATCCTTGTAATGAGCTGTTTTTACACGGCAGATCACCTTCTGTGGAGGCAGCCATGTTGAACCTCCGTGTTTTTGAAAGTAGCCCAGAAGAGACAAACCAAATTCTGGCTCATGTAAGGGGTGTTTTTGCATGTTTGGCAGCCACCATACTTTCTCCTTAACCCTTGGACGGGGAGGATGAGGCGGTAATTATCATTACCAGATATTATTTTTCCTATCATGAGAAATTATCTCAAAATAATTATATAATAATGTCATTATATGAATAAGATTACAACATTAGAAAGGTACGGTGATAACTAGAAAATATTACATAATCGTAATATATGATGTCATAGGAAACAGAAGTGATTTCATAATAAGATCCTTTTCACATCAATAAGAAAATAACTTAATAGTAGAAAACATCCTTATTTTTTATTTGACAACTTGAACACAATGTGCTTCCAAAGTAAAAGATGAATGACGAAGGAGAGAGGTGAGATTTAAAGATGAGGGGAGGGATGGAAAGAAAGAGGACGAAGGGAGGATAAAACAAAAGAGAAATATAGAACATAGTAGGTGCTTGGGGAAAAGGAAAAAGAAAAACAGACACAACTGATGACTAGACCACAGGGAAGTAATGGAAGCTATATGGCGTGAAGGACAGAAAAAAGGTGAAGGAAAGAGCAAAAAAAACGTGCCTAACATATTTTTGAAGTAAACATCACAAGCTCCTAATAGACTTTGCATGAACATGAACCAGTTTGACAAGCTAATAAATCTTCAATGTCACCTATTTAACTATTAATGACTGCTAGTCTTGATGGTGATGATGATGGAGCCTTACATATGCACCTACAGCGGCAGTGGCTCCCTTGAATACCAGATTCTCTGTGGGCATGACAAGGCCTTATAGAAGGAGAAATCTGATGTAAAAACTTTAGATGTGGAGCAACTTTAAGTTGTCGGCTGCAGGTAGTTGGAGGACGACAGATAGAGGAGGAGAGAGAGGAGGACAGCAGGAAAGTGAGATTTATCGGTTAAGAAATACCCAGGGGAGGGTGGCAACTGGGGCTCAGTCAGTCCAGGAGCAGTGGAGCAATAATGTGATGCACACACACACACGCACACAAACAAGACATATACTTAGAAGTATGCTTAAATGTATATGTGCGGGCTTGTGTACACACACACACACACACACACACACACACACACACACACACACACACACACACACACACACACACACACACACACACACACACACACACACACACACACAAACACACAAACTTGAGAAACCACACAAATGTATCCACACAAACCCGCACACACTATGAATAAATAAACAAGGAAACCCACCACATCGATAAACAAACCCAGCAATTTCAACAAATAAAGCCCACAATCCCCTCTAGTAGATTAAAAACACAGACCTTCATTGACCAATGGACTTTGAATGACAAACACATACACATACGAACACACATAGACAGATCCCCTCCCAACCGTTATACCAGTGGTTCTCAACCTTTTAGAGTACAGAGCCCCAAGAATAATCAGGTTGGGGTTTAGGACTAAAAAGCACAATAATAGATAGAAATACATTCTCATATTACTGTGATAACTGGGCCTATTAACATGTCTAAAAAATATATAGAAGTAAGTATATAGCTAATAGTAAACTGTGTTTTTGAGTTCTGTCAGTAGATAGGCTTAAAGGGATGACATTGCTGAGAACTGTTTCCTGTCTCTCATTCTGTGCTGCTTGCCACAAGGTGTTATTTTATTGTAACCATTTGGCGACCCCTGGAAATTATCACTGCGTTATACAACCACGAAATACACTCCTCCGGACAGAGGCAGACAACCCGTAACAATTCACACATAAACCTTGCATTCATACGTGAACAAGCACTACATTACGGACATGACTGTGTCTTACATATCTGCACAAAAACACACATGGGTACTCAAGTCTCATGTCTCTGATCTATCAGCATCAACTTTCGTGTTTCGTGTTATAAATGGTGTTTACACTCATCGTATGGTGCAGCTCCCGGCTCAGCACAGTGGGTGTCATAAGTCTCTCCTTCCTCTTCCTTCAAAACTTTGTCTGTCTGGTGTTTCACTGGCTGCCCATTCAGCAGCCCTGCCCTGTCATTAGCTCTCATTCGGACGCTGCACTTCATCATCAGTGCTTATTAGCAACATTAGTGCTGTAATCAGCAGCCTTTTCTCACAGAGCTGTCAAAAACGATTACTCCGACAATGCAATGTCACTGGGCTGTGTGTGTGTGTGTGTGTGTGTGTGTGTGTGTGTGTGTGTGTGTGTGTTTCAAGAATCTCTATTTGCATCATTGTGGGTCCAAAAAGCAGTCATTATCATAATGATCAGTCCACAAAAAAGGTACACTCACTGAGAGTAGAGCATGCGCGAGCGTACGATGAACTTGAAGATGTACTCGAGGGCTTTGAGGGTTCGAAGGATTGGCTCACACTGTTCCCCTCGGCTGGACACATCCAGATACCTCTTCAAGACTGCCATCAGCTTTCTGGGAGGGAATGATTTAAGAAAGACATGAGAAAGAGAGACAGAGAGAGAAATGAGAAAAGGGTAGAAAGAAATCAAAGTCATTCAGTCAGAACTGTCATTTCTTTTCTGATGTTCCACAAGTTGGAAAGTTAATCACCAACTTCATTTTTCACTTCCATAGAGCAGAAATACAGAGTCCAAAAGGGGGAAGGAGTAAAAGAATGAGAAAGAGGAAGACTGGGAGGGAGGTGGAGGTGGAAAAATGGCAAAATAGTATTTCACACCTCAACAGATGTACCTTTCACACAGCTCACAGACATTTTTATTTCCCCTCAGATGCATGGTGAGAAAATCATTTTCCAACACATGTGCGCCCCACAGGCATCTTTAGACACAAAAATATTCTGGTGTGTCAAAGCAGTTGGAGAGAGGTGTAGGTGGCACAGAGTTCAGTCTAAGTTTATGACCTGCCAGCATGTCTCTGCCCAATCTACCTCTGCATTATCTTAATAGCATGCAATACTAGCATATTCATTACACATAAAACAATACTGTACGCCTACAGAGAGTTAAGACCTTTGGTTTTGTGATGGCTCTATTTCCATGAAATGGCAACAGGGGATCACCCACTAACTGGTTTAAAACTACTGAATCCTCTTAAACAATAAAATTCCCTTTAAAAAATGAACTCTAATCTGGCCTCACTGCCGTCAGTGGCCTTGAAAATATTAAATGTTTTATTATATTATCATTCAGTCTTCAATGGTTTTGTTTTTGGTGAGTGGCTTAAAGGCAAGCACAGATTTATTCTTTTTTTTTTAGGAGCGAAAGATAGGGAGTTTAAAATGTAGTGAGAGGGAGTTAGAGAGTTTTACATAACAGCCTCTGGGCTGACAGGCGTTAAGCTGCAGTGACCCTCTTAAAGAGGTTGAACACCAACACACTGACAGGGGAGGGATGGAGTGATGGTGGAGAGACAGATGAATAGATGGAGTGAAGAACAGATAGGAAGAGAGAAAAGCAGTTGAGAGGGGAGGAGAGTGACAGGCATAATTGGGCAAAGGAGGCTGAGAAGAGGAGAAGGGGTCGGGGAAAGCAAGAAAGGATTCAGGGGGAAAAGAGAGCAGGAGGAGTCAGACATGTTTTTAATTTCCTAACTGGAGCTTTGGCAATGCAAACAAATGTTTTCTCTAGCACCCACTGGATCAAGTGAAGTGAATTATCAGAGTGAGAGAGTAAGAAGCAGAATGAAGTGTTTGGGGAGCATGCCTGAGTGCTTTAGCTGCTACTCCACAGACAGGCTGGGTTAAAACTCTGGCTAGCCGGGTGTACAGTAAAGTAGCATACTCTAATCCTGTTCAGTCAAGTGTTCCAAAGGCCACCACACACACACTGACCTCCAGTGGCAGATGGAAACTGTGTAGTATTTAATCACTTAACATTAGATCTTCAGGTAGCATTTAAAGTTAGCATGGAGTATGTGGTACCTGACAGGATTATGCATTTGATTCCAACTGGGACAACCCACACTAATGCTATGTATGCATTTCTGGTACTGTACTTTAAACTGTTCTGCCCAACTTTCTAATAACCACAAAACAGTCTTTTGGCTTGATGACAAAGCACTATTGAGATTATGATGGGATTTAAAAGATCCCATAATTCCCAGGAGGTGGGAGACTTGCCTCGTGAAAGATCATGTAATCCTTCATTTGAAATGCAAAAAGGAATATTGCAAAACTTGCTTTTCACACAAGTAAGGTATGGGATGGGTTTTTTTTTTTTACACAAAGTCTAACACTGTTGTCTAAGGTCATACCTGAATTAAGTGCTCAGCTGTCATTTTATGGAGCCCAGAGTAAATTATTTAAACCTTAAATAGCCAGCCGCGCTCAGTGAGTTTAATTGATAATAAAGTCTCCTGTGGCAGATCCAATAAGGCAATCTCTTTGCTTTCTCCAGACATTAACAGGAGTGTTGCATGAGCATACTGATTTGTGTCTGAAAACTCAACAGAAACAGAAAACATCGAAGAATTAGTTGAAAGAAAGTGGTCAATCCAGGAAGTAACTTACTTGTAGGCAAGTGTAGCACTGAAATGCTGCTTGATGTAGGCCTCCAACACTGTGTTGAAGTGCTGGAACTTTCTGTCAGCAATCAGACCTATGATGTATATCTGGGAGACAGAATAGAGAAACAGAGAGACAGTTACATGTTTACACAGCAGTAGACATTTACAAGGCAGACGAGAAGTTATGAACATTCATTGTGACAGACATGTTTATTTGGTAAAAGATGGACAGGTAGACACAAAGATGTCAGACTCGATACACACACAGGCAGCTTGTGAAAAAATCAGCTGCATCTGTTGACAAGGTACACGCACAGTCTCACGCACAGTCTCTCTCTCTCTCACACACACACACACACACACACACACACACACACACACACACACACACACACACACACACACACACACACACACACACACACACACACACACACACACACACACACACACTCACCAAGGCATCAAACACAAGGATGTCGTAGTCATCAGTCTGAGAGTGTTCCATCATGATGTTGAACAAGGCATCCAGAGTGTCCTGCAGAAACTACACACATACACAAAGACAAAGGAGAGGTTCGGTGAGAGCACGCACACACACCAATTATATGCAAAGACAGACTTCGATTCATACCACTGACCTTGACCACCTCCTCTCCATCGATGATTTTGAGTTTCTCCAGGTTTTCTTTGAGGAGTTCAGGTCGAGTCCTCCACTTGAGCAGCCCCAGGAGGCCCACTGGAGAGGAGAGACACACACAGAACATTTTCTGCTCAGCTGTCTTAACTGTTCATACACGTTCTTTCTTATGAGTGGCTGCTGATAAAAGCTATTGTAATGAAAATGTCTTAATAGTAATTTTCTAAATTCTCGTTTTTCACTTTCTGCCCTTGAATATTCGACAATGCCTGTTGAACAGAATACATGTACTTTTTAATATAATGCTAAAGATAACAAGTTAAGAGGTTGTTATTCTATTAAAATTAGATAGGAAACTCAGTCAAGTTATCAATTACTTGAAAGAAAACTAATTGGCAACCATTTTGATAATCACCACTCTTAGGGATACTGTTACATTTGCTGCTTTTCTTTTTTTAAATCACTGTAATCAAATGAGTTTTTAGTTTAAGATACACTGTATATTTGCACTTACAGATTGTTCTTTGAAAATGTCACTTGGACTCTGGAAATTTTGTATTATATATATTTTTTTCAAGTTCATGCCTGACTGATAATAAGCGACATCAAAGTAGCACTTTGTCAGGTGATGATTTGTCATGTGGACTGTTCCTCTGCTTAGTCAGACTTTCAGCTGAACATTCAAATCCACAGGTTCTGTCATTAATTCTGCTACAGTTTGACATGGGGCAGATTTCCATGCCTCTGTAGGGCTACCCGCTTGAAGCTCACTGCTTTCCCTGTCCAATAATTTCTGACTCACCAAGCCAAGCTGCACATCTGGTGGGTGGCCCCAAACAACATTGTGTGCCTGCATGCCTGAGAGCCTCAGAGTGTGTGTCTGGGTGTGTGTGCGTGAGTGTCTGTGTGTGTGTGTGTGTGTGTGTGTGTGTGTGTGTGTGTGTGTGTGTGTGTGTGTGTGTGTGTGTGTGTGTGTGAGTGAGTGAGTGAGTGAGTGTGTGTATGTGTGTGGTATAGGTGATTAATACTGCAGGATAATGTTCATTATAGTGATGGACTGGTTTCCTCAGTAACAGCTGTTGCACTGCACCTGTGTCTGATGCACCTTACTGTCTGGAGTGTGCGTGTGCGTATGCATATGTAGATGTGGATGTGCACATCAATGCGTGTCTCTGCTTGTGTGGCTGCCTGCCAAAGTGTGTAGGACAAAATGACGACACGCTCCTCTAATAAAACCTATGTATACAGACAGTTCCCACCATCCTTTGCTTACTATCCCATGACCATACCACACCCACACACACATACACTTGTAGTTCTGGGACCATTCACCTAATTTACATACTGTTGACTCACCGTTAATTGGCTGACCCTAACCTTATTTCACCCTTCAGCTACTGTCATCCTGAGTCAACTTTTATCCCTAAACCTAAAAATAACAACTAATGATGTCAGTAAAATGTTACCTGCATTTTACTACCAATTGTATGAGTTTTCTAAGGAAAAATTAACAAACATTTAGCCCAAAACAAGACACTATGCGCACTGGACCAGTTGTGTTTTCAGACTTAAAGCAACCTTCTAAGCAGTGTTTTTTGTCCTCTACCAATTTCACAGCCAACCGATGATTCATTGTCTTGGCTTGCCCTTATTACTCTGTTGAAAGAAGATGTTAATTAATGTTTTTTTGACATGTCAGGTTTAATTTCAGACACCCTCACACTCCTCATAATTTCTTCCCTAACCTTTCTTCAGTTTTTGTGTGTACAAGGGTGTGTGTGTGTGTGTGTGTGTGTGTGTGTGTGTGTGCTTCTGAATGAAAATGATTTGCCCTGTCAAGTCTTTAGAGTAGCCTAAAATCAACACAATGTCACAAAGGGGCTATTTGAACATCCTAACCCCTGCTCATCACGCACATACAAACAAAACCACACACACTCATACCATTCTGGGTGAGTTTGGTAGAGCAGACCAGGGTGGAGATGGTGAAGCTATCTCTAGAGCTGACTGACAGGCCTCCTCCACTCCCAGACACGTTGCTGGAGCTGCGGCTCAGCCCCGATGTCTTGTGGGGGTCACCATGGTGGTGGCGTGTCGAGGGCAATGACAAGTAGCAGTTCACGTCCTCCATGCGCTTACTGTCACCCTGAGAGGACAATGTGAGGGAGTCATTTTTAACCCAATAATGTTGACACAACAGTAATGCTACAACTTCACTAATGATGGCACAGATGTTTGGTGAGTGTTGAAGCAGCACTGGGACAAGAATTACATTTCCTGTATTTAGTCAAAATGTCTTGATGCAAATGCAGGAGTAGAAGATAGCGAGGCACTGGGGTTTGCTACACTTGCAGTGATTTATCAGGCCAGTCCTGCAGGAAAAAATGACAAACAATGATTGAAGTCGCCAGTAGTAACCCTCTGTGACCACTATGCCTTATCTACTTCTGCCTAACTCAATTTCTGTCTGTTTACTCATAACTTTGGAGCCTTCAAATCCAGGACAGGTCAGAAAAGAAGAGCACAAACAACAACACCAAGTATTGGTGCAGCATTTCTCTACTTAGTTACAAAGTACTGAAAATTTAGTGTAAACACATAGGAAAGAGATATGTGAGTAAAAGAGATGAGCTATCTTCTCTTGGCATATTGATTTTCCATTTTGTCTCTATTGTTTATGTGATCCTACTTTACATCCTACTGTACATTCTTCCTGTGTCTTAGATTACTTCGAACCTCAAACCTCAACTCTGCCCTCTTTAATGCCAAACTAGTAAGTAATAATAATTGAGTAAGTGGGTGGAAAAGCAGGGAGCGAGAGATTGAAGGCATGAGTGGCAAAGACATCGAGGGGAATGTTAGGATAACGAGAGATAATCGAGAAAGAGGGCACAGTGGGACCATGCATTTGGTCTTTGAGTGAATCACGAGTAATTAATCTTCATTGCGTTTGGCATTTAATCAATAAGGGGATTCAATCTTAGCTCTGGCTTATTTGGCAGGAAATCTATTTGGCTTCACTCAACCTGCTGTCTGTGTGGCCATAATCTCCCGTCCAGACTCACTTTATGTTTAGGTCTGCTTTCAGGATGGTTGCAACTGAAATTCTTTCTTTGCTACAGTATAAACTTTTTTCAAAGAAACAGTTTATCTGCCTTTTCTACCATGCATGCAAATATCCTCCAGCCAAGTAACCCAGTATGCCTCGATTTGTAAAGTCTACCATTCATTTCTCACCATTATATACAAATAGATGAAAGACCTCCAGAATTACATAGGGAATGGCATTGAACTTTGGTACAAAAAACTTCCCCATTCAGTTTGACCATGAATAATGAATCAAAAGAATCCTGTAAACTGGCTTTATAATTTACCACCAAATGATTGGACTTGCCATTTTCATCTGACATACTACATAAAATATTTCATATTTAATGGGAGCTAGGCTGTTCAATCCAAAACTGGTTGGTCCAACAAAAGTAATGAGCTGTGACCCTTTTTCATCATAAACACCATTTATTACTCTCAGAGGAGCTTTTATATCTGAGTCTGAAAGCTCTGTGTGTTGATCTACTATTAAGTTGCCTAATGGTATTATTTTGCATATTGGAGGTCAATCAAGATGGGATTTGGGTGACAATAAATAATCAAATTTTTCCGGTGAGCTGACTTTTGCCTGGTTTACTCTTTATTTGATTTGATTTTCTCTGAAGAAGACACTGGAGCTGTTCACAAGTTCATCTATTTTCTTTCTACAAAAGCTCCGTTTTTGGTTCTGACCTTGAAGACCACAAGGTCATGCTGCCCATCTTGTAGAACTGTCCCATCCTCCTTCATCAGACGCACAAAGGCCATGGCAAAGTTCTTCTCGCTCTTGTCCTTGGCTGCAGTCGAAGGAGACGGATATGTAAACAGAAGGAGGGAGAGGGTCAGGGGGGGAAACACATCAGGGAAATAGAAAGGGGAGGGAGAATTCAGGCATGGGAGGAAGAAGGCTGTTGATTTGTATAATCAAGTGTGTGTAATGATGCCTTGGATCATTTTCCAAATTGCTTCCAATCATTGGGTCCTTTCAGTGTCACGTTATGCTCAGGGGATCAGAGTTAAGAGTCTATGCAGCAACAGACAGGCAGAGGACAAGAGGCTGATACTCACACTCCTGGGAAGAGCGGTGTCTGAACATGAAGCGCAAATGAATTCTGTGCATTTCTTCCAGAGGGACTGCCACCTGGAGGACATCTCATGTTATTATAGAATATTAAAAAACAGATGTCTTTAACATTTTACAGGTATATTCTGACATTCTGGGGTTTATTTTCTTCAAATAAGGAAAGCAACTGCTATATAAACACTAGACATCATCAGGAAACTGAAAAAAGTGTCAAGTATAGACAGCAGTAAATTCTAAAAATAACTACTTTCGAATTGTTTGCTCTGCAACTTCGTCTACAACACACACACACACACCTTAATTGTCTCCACCCAGCGGGGCTGTTTGACTTGGTAGTAGATGACGGATCTGTACTCACTGACCGCTTTATCCCCTGCTCCCAGACAGATGGAGTTCTAGGAAAAAGGGAGGGAGAGAAAAATACTTGTCATATTGAGCTGAAGGATTTTATGTTTGTGTGTGTGTGGGTGCATCCATGTATGCCTAAGATAGATTTTCATTCTGGGATAAAGCCACGTCCATGTGCCACAGACTATGAGAGGGTGAGTAAGCGCTTGATCAGTGCCGTGCTTTCTCACTGGCCCATACCACCTCAATCTCTTAAACACTGCACATACGGTACACACACACACACACACACACACACACACACACACACACACACACACACACACACACACACACTTTCGCACTTGCACACTTTATCTCAAACCAATCCTTGTTTACACAAATCCCTTTCCTATCATATATAACGTGCTCTGTACATCCTCCACCTCATCTCTTCGTGCTGCTCACCTGTATGACCTTGCCCTCCTCATCACAGACCCACATAATGACCTCCACGTTTTTCTGCGTCGTCTTATTATATTTGTCGAAGTCGCCGCCCACTAAGGTCAGGTAGATGTCATTGCGAACATCTCCCGGCATAATGATCTCTGGGAAGCCCAGCTTGCGGGCCACCACAGTGCTGCGGTCCACCAGGTGAGGGTATTCCTTCCGGATCTGAACTATGTCCCCGACCAGAGCCTTCATGGTCACCCACAGACCTGGAGGGAGGTGGGGGTAGAGGAGGAGGGAAGACTATGTATTACTGTTTGACAAGTATACATTTGTCAGGCATTTTTAGGCCTTATTCAACATGTCCCTTAAAAAACATCAACGCTCTTGATAAGCACCAGATAAAGCATTTAGTCAGAATCTCAAGACAGATGGCAGACTGATGAATTGCACATATTGTCTGGGATATTTTCCTACCTGCGAATGGGTAGTTAATCTAAAGAGTAATAACCCATTAAATAAGCAGAGAAACTATATTTCATCGTGGTATCTCATTTAATGATGTTCCTTGGTAATTACACAATATTTTGTGTACATTACTTTACAGTGTCACTGGTCTGAAAGACAAAAATATTCTCCTGTTATACTTCAATACTGACCAATGTTGATCCCCTAAAAACAACTTAGGAAAACACAGGGTATGTGTAGATATCAGAGAGTCAAATTTTATACTACACAGGTCTTTGTTTGACCAAATATTAATAAATGTACTCAGACAAATAGATGCCACTCCAGGCTATTTTAAATGAGGAATCCAGAGAGGAGTTTTATTTCTCACTGCAGGCAAGTACATTGAAATTAAAGTCAAATGAATGCATAAGGAATTTCAAGGCTCTGTACTATTTAAAATGAATTTAAAACATGGAAAATGTTTTCAGGCCCAACAGAAACCCTGACACATGGGGCTTAAGAGCTGAACTTAAAGAGACCCACTTTATGTAAAAAGTTAAGTGTTCTAAGTGCGTATCCAAGGAAGACATAATGTGAAAGTGTTCCAAGGTGAACCAGGGAACGTGAAAATGTCTGTTTTTGTAGACTACACTGTAATCAATGCTATAAAAACTCCTGTTTGTGAAAAGTGTGTAAGACCAAAAAAGAAAAGGATGGAGGTGTTACAGTATCATAATCTAGTCCTAAAGAATATGAGCGCTAAGAGCTTTCAGAGAAATTGTGTGAGAAAAAATAGACAAAGAAGGGGCAGAAAATGGAAAAAGGGGGTGAGCTATTTTAGGGAAACACATAGTTGGTGAAATCTAGACTATGTCACAAACCCACATTTTCAAGGCTAACCACATACCTACAGGGAATACTCCGGATATGTGTGTCAGTGTGTATGTGTGTGTGTGTGTGTGTGTGTGTGTGTGTGTGTGTGTGTGTGTGTGTGTGTACTGTGGCAGAAGCATCTCAAAGTGAGAGGAAGGAGAGATTAGGGGTGAGTAATGTTAAGAACAGACATCTGGTGGCCTCAGGTGCTCCTTCCATATCTGCTCATCCAGGTACACCTTTCATATCTAGGTTATGCCCATGGTCTTCAGGAGCATGAGGAAAGATAAAAGCTGAGCGATATAACATTGCAGTCCAACATGCAGGGTTACTCTATATGAAACAAGACAGTGTCACACATAGGAGCTGTCAAAGTCAGTCATAAACATGAGGTAGTGGGCAGTGAGACAGGAGGCTGGCGAGGGAGAAATAAGGGGTAAGTAATATGAAAACATCGGCTCAAGGGCGCGTGCTATCAATCAGGATAATGACCTTCATTCTCACCCACAGAACACAGAAGAGGCGAGGATGCAATGAGGAATGGCCACAAATGACTGCAGTGTACACAGTCCATTGGGTAGCTTCAGTGCATACAGGAGCGCTAACAGCAGAGTAGTCACATGGCTTACACACAGGAAACAGAGAGCACAGCCTGTAAGTGCTGAACAGTACCTTGGCCACCACTGTCCCCTCGTAATGCCGTCACTTTGTTCAACAAGGAGTGGAGGAAGTCATTCTCAGCCACTACCCTGGAGCCAAACAGACACAAACACACTTGAAAATACACAAACAGCTTAATCTTTAAGTTTATAAGAGTACAAAAGGAGAGGGGGAGTATAGGTGGTGTAATAGAGGAGGAAAATAAGACATACGGGAAGAAGGGGATGAAATACTGCTTCTCCTCATCGCATTCAATCTTCCCTTTGATGAGATCACTAATGTCCATCACTGCAAAGAAGAGAAAACAAATGTGTCTGTGATAAAAAAAATCTAAGAAAATGCTATACAGTCATTTCTAATGTGGATTCACATCAGTCAACAATGAACATTTTGTAAAAACTCTCTATCACACAATAGTCTAGCAAAACAGGCCCCACAACACACCCTGATAGCTATTTTGTGAGGTTATGTGAGGATATAAGCAACTTTTTTGAGCTGGAGGGCACAATAATAGATTTACTGGCAGAAAAAAGTAGCGGACAGTCACTATCAATACTTTAGTAGTTTGTGCAAAAGATGACTGTGGTTGCACCAGCTAGCTCCCAGGTGTAAATATGGGGGATAATACCAGTAGCAGCTGACAAGTCAGACAAAATGACTTTGACCTTTAGGAAACAAAAGTAAAACTCACTGAAGAGAGCATTATTGTACCAAACTGCTCAAATTTGACAAGGAAATGAGGCAAAACAGCCCTTTTCTGTCATCAAATTTATTGCTGGTTAAAGAGAGAAGCTACTAAAAGCAATTGTGATAGATTGACCATAAAGAAAAATCTTTCTGATAAGCAATTTGGTAAGTCTAACTACTACAATGACTAATTTGCACATTGCTTTACCACTTGAACTGGCAGCACCTTCCACCAAAATAAAGCTGTATTGGCTGTTCTACAAGTACCTGCCACCCCGAACGGCCGTCTCAGGCCCATAGTCCACTTCTTGTTGTGCGTCTCTTTCAGGTCCATCCTGCCCACTCTGACTATCTGACAGATCAGATAAATCTTTTCTCTGCTCAGATCCTTGTTCCCCAGGTCCTGGTAGAGAAAATCAGGGAAAGGAGAGCAGAGAAAAAAGAAATCAAAAGAGGAAGTATAGGGAGTGGGAATAAGATATATAAGGATGAAAAGATGGAGGAAAGAAGAGTTGGGGCCAGGAAGTTAGTGGGAAAGAGAGTGGGGGAGAAAATGAAAAGAAAGCAATCTTCTTAAAGGAAGTAAATTCATTAATTTATACATTACAGTGTATGTAGTGTTAAGAAACAGTGTGATAGTGCCCTCATGTGGTCACTTACTGTAAAGACAACCTTCAGGTTGTTGAGCATGTCAATCTCCTTGGGAAATCCTTTGCTGCCCCAGCGTACCAAGTAGTTCTCACTGCACAGACATGGAAAAGAGTTTGACACACAGCATATTTGTTACATTACTGTCCTGCAAAGCTAAACTACACAATATTTGCAGCTGCAATAAAAATATCATCTCGTTCTCCATGACTGAAATTCTGTTTTTGTGTATGTACATTTCCACCTACAAGAGGTGATGAATTAAAATGATGGAGATATTATCTCGGTCTAATCCCGGAGAGAGCAAGTGCTTGGTCCAGATAAAGCTGGACCGTTTACCTCCCTTATCTTTTGGTACTCTTTGGAGAGGATCACAGAGCAGTCTGTCTGTCGTGTACATGAGCATACTCTATGCAGCTCACGAATGTCATGTTACATGATTTCTGGGGAAATTAAGTTATAATGTTTCAGTCAACCCTGGATCCGCTAATGTTACCCAGTGCAGCTGCATAATAATTTTGACTCAAGTGCTAAAAATACAAGCCCTCTATTCACAATAGCATTTTCCTAACATACGAGCAGACACTGACAGACGGATGAATAGAAAGATAGACAGATGGCTGTCTATGGGTACAGTGGGGTGAATCAAAGCTGAGAAAAAGCTGATACGGTCCTAAAACATTCCTGTCATAAAATCCTACTATCTGCCAATATTTCAGATAGAGACAGAGAGATTGACATGGTGAGGGAATGGATGGGACAAAACAAAAAATTTAACTAAATCAAACAAAAAAGAACAAGTGCAGATTAGACAGAAGAGAATCAGGACAAATGGCAAGAAGGTAAGAAATGACTGAAAGGGTGGTGGATGTATATTGAGAAAAAGACGATCGATCCAGGTCTATCTTAATACTCCCAGCGGCAGCAGCTGAGACATAGATATACCCACCATGACAGTGAGTGACAAGGCTTAACATCAGCCCTGTCAGCCACCACATAGCGCTGCCAGTCAGTATCTGCTGCCCCTATAATTTGTGTTTTCTGTATTCTTATTTTTGGCATACCATTGTTCTAATTTAGTTGGGTTCAACAACGGAGGAGAGCGGAAAAATAAGTATACAAGAGAAGGAGAGGTATATAGAGATGAGGAAATGGAAGTGAAAGGAGGAGTGTGTGTGGGCTGGAGTGTGTGTGTGTGTGTGTGTTTTAGACAGTTGAGGGATGAAAGTGAGTTAGAGAAAATCTGAACTTGAGGCAGTAAATTGGCACTAAGAGGGATATAGTGGAGGATAAATGCATTTCATCATAATTTTCCCATATTTTTATTTTATTTAAAGGATAAAGATTACTTATCTAATCTAATATCATCTAATCATACCTAATATTTGACCTATGAAATTCAGACTGATAAGCACAATAGCATCAATATAAGCCATACGAAGATTTTCTATCTCTATGTGACTCAACTTTACATCCCAAAATTGATTTCAAATGTATGAAAAGGGAGTTAACAGATTAACACATTTAAATTGTGCATATGAATCTTGAGCTTCAAATCTTTAAATCAACCTGCAAAGAAAACCTGTATAAAAAACCTTTTTAAGCTCACTGTATCAAGGACTGAAGCTAAGGGAGAAGGACAAGAAAAGTGACACCTGATGATGCTCTGTTTGATGGGGTCATAGAGGGACATGAAGAGCTCTGAGTCCTCTCCGATGCGACAGACAAAGTTCCTGACAAAGACGTAGAGGCTGTGGGTGGGGGAAGACTGTATCCGTGCTGAGATCCCGCTGTGGTCTGTCTGGACGTTGGACTGGCAGGAGAGGACATTAGTTGTAGGAGGTTAACTTGGAAGAAGGGTTTAACAGGATAAAAAAAACAGCCACAAACCTCCATTTCAAGGTCTTGTCAAGTTTGGTAAACAGTTAAAAATATTTGGCTATTTAATTCCGGGATGTACCAGCTGCAGCATCCAGATAGCAGGTTTGTAAGGGTGAAGCACAGAAAATCATAATAGAATATAATCTTTTGTTACTAATGAATAAATGTTGAAATGTAAAATAGGCTGTAGCGAGTTGAAATGCCAAGCCAATTTGTGAGGAAATGAATTCTTAATTAGGCTTGGCAAGCAGACATGATTGGCAAGTAAAATGTATTATCCACAGCATTTTCATGCACATAGTTTCATTTTACAACTTCCTTACAAAAAAACTAAATGAAATGACAGAATTGTGATCTCATCCACATCTACTTTTCAATATCATTTTTATGATTTTATGAAAGGAAAGAATAGCTTCCCTGGAAAAATCCCATGGTACACATTTCTAGTGTCTAGACATGTGTATCATGGGAGTACACATATATAGTGCAGTCAAACTACATCAGTGCAGTCTAGTGTAGTTCTGCATAGTGCTGTCAAACCACAGCAGTGTCAAAGAAGTAGCCAAATAAATTTACTTTTAATTGCAACATCCACCATCCCATCCACCCAGGAGATACTTTCTCTGTCCTAGAAAACCTTCTGTGTGGCCCTCTCCATGCCTTCCTATCCTTTGCCTTACCTGCTCCTCTTTGATGCGTTCGTTGATCTTGGCCGTGGCCTCCTCGTGGGCCCGAAACAGACTAATGACACTAGCCCGCTCCGGTTCCAAGATGTTCCCATCCTCGTCCCGAACCACCTGGTCCAGCTCCAGGATCCTGTGATAGGAGGCAGGAGAGGTGAGAATTTGTGGGAGATTAATGTAAGCCGAACAAAAGGACAGAGGACAAAGAAAGGGCAATGAGTGTAGGTGGTTATGGAGGAGGGAAGAAGATGGAGGTGTGATGGGAGGGAGGAGGGAGCAAAGAGCAAAGAAAGATAAGGGGAGCAGATTCTGAAAAATGTATGGTTAGAAAGATGTGAACAGGTAGGTGAGGCGGAGGAGGGAGCAGAGAGGAAAGAAAGATAAGGGGAGAAAATACTGAAAAACTTGTGGTTAGAAAGATGTGAACAAGTAGGTGAGACAGGAGCGAATGAGCTTACATGACGGACTGAAATTAGTTTGAAATGTCGTTTTTAAAGAGTGAACATAAAGTGTGAACAAGTGATTTTATTTTTGAGCAGACATACTTGTTGCCGTAGTCAATCTTGGAGGTGACTTTCTGCTTAAGTTCTTTGAATTCGTCACTAGGCAGAGTGCCAGACAGGAGCTGGGAACGCCACTCCATTAGCTCACACATCAGTCTCTGGACCTGCTTCACACGCGCCTGTTTATTGGCCTGGACAGGTAGATGCATGCTGTGATGTTACACTCTGACACTCACGCACATTCACATACACAAACAGTGCTTTTGTTTGTCTGTTTTTTGTTTTTTATTACCACAAAAAGCTGCTTCCATATGCTTCCCCACTCCCTCAGTGTGGTGGTCACCTCCTTCACCAAGGGCATCTCTCCAGAGATCACTAACTCCTCATCTCTGTAGTCGCACACACATACATAACAAATTCAAAAAAACGTAACTTTTGGAGATGGATGAAGACTTTTTAGCTGTACTCACCCTCGTTTTTCAATGATGACTTCCTTAAGGTGGACAAAACTGGCAGGGAACACTCCCTGGAAAGGAATATGTGTGGGGGAGATGAATAAGAATAAACAGCAGTAGCTTTCACTTTTTCTATTCATAAAAGTAGAAAAGAAGATCTCCCAGTTGAATAAAGCCAGCTGAATGTCATGAATTATGTGCCATCACCTTTCTCATAAAACCAATGTCTGGTGGTAAGTGTGAGCTCTTACCTGTTGGGCTTTGTTCCTAGCCAAGTAGCCTCGATACCATCCTGAAAGACACAATCATCTTACTTGCCGCACTGACATCTCTACATGGGAAGGTTTTTGGTGTTCAGTAGTAAAATCTTGAGGTGTCTGGACTGTATGTGGGAAGACTGGGATACATACAGTCTCTAACTGGTACTAACAGTAACCTAATATTGGTGTACTGGTGCACAGTAAAGTTGTCAATCAATTCTCAATATTTTATTCTGTGTGATACTCCAAAAAATGAGTAACATACAGAGTGAGATACAGAGATATAACTTTAACTAAGAAAAATTATTGTTTATGAAAATGACAGTACTCTATGTTTGTTTGATGCACCTGGTTTATAATGTGGTAAGAATAAGACTTTGTTTAGGATATACGACATACAGATGCAAAATATTAACACATCTTTAACTTTTCTTTTAACATGTTAAACAAACACCATGAATATGTTATTTAGAAGATTCAGAAGCACTTTATAGCAGAAGTGGTGTTAAATTTAATATAACTACTATTTTTTATGTTTTGAGATATTCTTACCATCACAGACCTCCTGGATGTGGACCGTATCTCCTACCTCGAGGGAGAGCTGCTTCTCTCCTTGGCCAACAAAATTCCACTTTACTGAAAAAGAAATTTTACAGTCATGAAAGATGCATCAACAATGAAAAAAGCTTAGAGGCACACAAACACCAACTGAGCACACCTCTCATGTTATAAATGTTAGCACAAGGAGTAAGCTAGTAGTTCTTTGGTAACCTTGGCAACAACTGTCAGTTTCAAGCTGCCAGTGCACACACCTTTCAGACCAAAGCTAAATAAACAAAAGGTAGCACCAGAAAATGGCAGGAGTGACAGAACTATAACTTATAGTTTTATATTTACATCAAAATAAAGAAAGCAACTAATAGCCTAAAGTTAAAAAAGTGGAAAATACTAAATAATGCCTTATTTAGAAACACAGTGCAGGTCAACAACAACGGAACAAACAAATCCAGAGGTTTATTCCTGCCAACATTTCCTATTGTTAACACCTCCTGTCTACCTTTTTTTCAGACTACATGGGCGATATGATGGACTGTAGGCAGGTCCGCTTGCTTTTGACTTTTTAATGGAGCTGAAAATAGTTAGATTAATAAAATTCTAATATTAAATTGAAAGAAAATTATTCGTAAACTATTTTGATAACTCAGTGATTTCATTTCTTAAGCAAAAATACCAAACATCATCTGGTTCCATTCCGGTCCAATTGTGAGGATTTGCTGCTTTTGTCTGTCTTACATGATGGTAAATACAGTATATGAATATCTTTGGGTTTTGGACTGTCGGTGATCAGGCAAAACAAGCAATCTGAATATGTCTACTGGCTCTGGAAAGCTGTAATGATGGGCATTTTCACTATTTTCGGACATTTCATAGACCAAATGATTAATAAATTAATCAGCAGATTAATCAATAATGAATATGATTGTCAGTTGCAGCCTTACTGTACAAGCTGCAGTGATAGCAACAGGTGTTTGCAGTAGGAATAAGCACTAAGCAGCAGCATGGCAGGGCGAGAGAGTAGGCAGCAGCTACTGTACACTGCCTCACTGGAAAGGGCCAATTGGATATCACTTTGCTGCAGAAAGTAAGTGTAGTAGTGAAACTGGCATCGTCTGTCTGCACTAACTCACAGGCTTGCTCTGGTATGGGAACTAAACAAGCGATTACACAGCTATAAAGTGACTGCTAAATAAAGGGATTATTGAGACTATAAAAAGGGGCACACTATTTTTAGACCAATAGTTAAACAATGCCTTCAAATTAAAAATATATGCACGTACACATACACTATTTAGCGGTACGGCTTCAAACTTAAACAAGCTTCCTTCCTTCCGCCTCCATTTCCTGTGTTGTAGCTTTACACAGACCAGGAAGATATTAACTCGAGAGTAGATAAACAACTGTTCATTGAGTAATCATATTAGTAATTGATTCAAAATGTATTTCATAAATCATTTGTCATTCTCACTATCAATCTTAAACTACAAGCTGTATAACTATTGGGATGAAAAACTTGAACTTGAATAAAGAAAAAGTTGTCTTCACTCACTTTCTACAAAACGAACTATATGCCTAATTTATTGCAAATGTCAGATCAATCCATAGATCGTCTGCAACATGCCAGTGAACCTCAGCTTTTGCAGTCTGTATTAGAAGTCAGAAATCTGTATTCATGCTAACTAAGTTTGTGTCTGTCTTGCATATCTAACAGCAACACATGCGGATCAGCTCGGCCATATTCAACCCACATCCCTGATAAACTACAGATTGTACAGAGAAGTTGCACTTTCACAGTCTAGGATTTTTTCCTGGTGCCAAAATCCATCTATCTGCAACTAAACTTGTCATTTTCGGGAATGATTTATATTCTTGCATCTATATTTATGCATTGCATAATATGTAATGCATGGAGATTTCCTACTAACAGCAACACATTTCTCCATCAGCTTAGGATGGATAGTAATGACTTTATCCCTTTACACAATCCACCATAGATCTTATGAGTCCTATTGCATTGAAGCTAAATAGTGAATATGATTTTAGGATTTAAGTTCTTTGGAGGGAATACATCTGATGTATACATACTAATGTTCTATGAGGCTGTTCGCACCTGCTCACATCCTGTTTAGCAGGAAGAGATGGGCATCTGTTTTAATCTCATTCTTATTCATAGCATAAATAGTTTAGATCACACCTAAACAGAGAGACACTACAGCAATATGTATGCACACACACAGACTAAGACACAGACAAGTGAGCGCATACTGACTTACCTACACCATACCGCTCCGAGATGGTCCTCGTCCAAGGAGCCATGGCTGCATGTAGTCCTTTACCTACTTTCTAGTCTTGTCTTTCTGATTCTCCTCCTGTTTCTCTCTCTCTCTGTGTTTTGGGTGAGGGTGTCTGCTAAACTTCTCACTTCTGTATTTTCTTAACTTTAAATGAAAGTAATAAGCCCATCCCCCCTTGCTTCTCTTCCTCTTCTGTCTCTTCTCTCTTCCTGCCTTTAAGCGGTTAAGGGGAAGTGGGTGAGTACAACAAGGTGGAGTCCTGTAGAGGCCACAGGCCTGCGCAGTGTGTGAAGACTCCATTTTGGAGACTCGGTGATTACCATATCTGTATTATAACTGAATGTAAAACACAAACAACCTGTGTCTTGTGTTACAGAAGGGTTAAAATTGATGTGCGTAGCATGCAAAATTACCCACAATCTAAAAACTGCACTTCTCTTTAAAGCAAAACTGGGCCTGAACATGTCCTTTTTAAAAGGCAGATGTAATCAAATGTGACAGAAAGCAAGTTACCTTTGTGATCCATTCTTAAATCTTGACAAAATACGTACTGAATACTACAAAGAGTACAAGGTAATTGAACTTTCACTCAACTGTCTGCCATCTTACATTGTTGTCTCTCACCATTTTCTCTTTGTGAATCACCCTTTATGCTTGTGAAATCAAGTGTTTATGTCAGAAGAAGCAGATAATTGCTTGATGTTTATTAGTACATAACCTCAGCTCACCCATTGTGTCCTCACCTACTACCCCACAATAAGAAAGACTGGTTTCAACTCCGTGAGCAAATTTGATGAGAAAATACTATTCTGGATATGCTTGTTTCAAGAATTCTCTAAAAAAGCTGTAATCAAGTGTGAATCTATCATCACGTTACTCATTGGTTTGTGGAGTACTGTTTTAAAGCCTTGAGTTTGGCATTTTGGTCGGCACAATGACAGTTTATAGGAGCCAGCAGAGGTGAAGTACTGCAAGTTGAGTTGCGCTCATTGGCTGCACAGTTTCGACCTATCCATAGCAGGAAGCAGTCAGTCAGCCATTTTTTTTCAGTCCGTCAGTGATTTCTTGGCTCAATTTTCAATTTCCCTTGCCTGGTTCCCTGCGGTTAACACTAACAAATTACTAGCATTAATTATATTATTATCTTATCTCAAGATATGACAAATTTTAAACACACTGTTGATCCAGACTGGGAGCTTGAGGGAAAATACTATTCTGGATATGTCTGTTTCAAGAATTCTTTATAGCATAAGTCTGAAATCTTAGATATACTGCCAATGGCTGAAATCCATATCTAAGATTTCAAATAAAAAAACTCCTTCATCAGATGTACATTCCCCTTGTACCTTTTTCAGATGAGGTTGCCAGGGCAACCATCATGTCCCCATTGTGAGAGCATCCTCAACACAAAAAAGATTTGCAACACCTATACATAACAGACAGGACCTTTTTCAATATTACTGACCTCTCTGTCTGAAAAACAGGAACATCATTTTATTTTCCTATATTATGGATCAGAGATTAACATTTAGCATACAAACACTTCTAATCATTCAAGTCATCCTTCACTCCTTACAGATTGTATGATGAAAGTGAGAGGGGTTTTTAACCTTTAGCAAGGCTATGGAGCTGTTTTATCTATGAGCAGATCACTGTTTTGTTTATCACCTGTGCACAGGTGGCAGTAATGCACCAAGAAAGGTATACATGGATGTAAACAATGTAAAATTTAAAATACTTAAAAGTGCCTTCATATGAGGAAGGCAATGTAAGTTTTAGACCTTAAAGATACAAATAGAATGTTTTAGTAAGAAACACTGAATGCGAGCATAAGTTTTGGGGGGTTTTTTCTAGAGAACTCCACAGGGCATCTTTAATAAATATTTAATAAAAGTTAGTTCAATCTCGGATGCATTACAACGAAAGTCTGAAATCTGGATGACTTCAATCATAAAAAAGCATTTTAAGAACAGTAAATATACTGTCTCTAAGTTCCTCTGTATCCTTAGCATTTCCAGTCAGTTAATATTATTATTTACACTGCTGAAGTAGGCAGCATGCGGCTTTGCAAGTTGGCTCTCAACCAATGAGGATGTCAAAACTTGACAGACACACAAAAGGGCTGATTTACAGTTTTCTCAGCATTTGACCGTTACTGTGGGTGATGTGTTTGAGTTTTATTATGCTGATGACTGAAGAGACTACCACACATTCATATTTACTACACCCAAAATGATGACGAAAAATGTACAGTATTTAGTTGTAATTCATCAATCATGGGTACTTGTGTCATCACCACCATTATAGAGAGGACTATTACTTATTAAGTTGCTTTTGGCCACTTTGACACTGATATAGACTGTGTGTGGGTGTATGGACTTTAACCTCCCCCTTATGACACCTTACAATAGGGCTACAAGTATGACCTCTTGCAAAAAAGCAATTCAAGATTGCTGTTGTTGGTCGTACTGTAAATTCATCTGTAACAAATTCCATGGCGAAGCATTCAGTATTACCACCAAATGGCATGTTTATTACAGCTGATATTTGTCTGTTGAACATAAATAGATCAAGTAGGTCTAATGGAGTAGCTGTCTGGCTAAGCTAAGAGCATGAATATATCTTAAAACTGCCAGATTACCTAAAGAAAAAAAATAGAAATTACGATCATTCTTGCGCTTAGCAAACTGCAAAAGTTTAGCCTTTAGTCTTGCATGTTTTAGCCAATAAAGAATTATAGCATGGAAATAAATACAGTCAGTCAGTCAGTGATTTCTTGGCTCAATTTTCCTTGTCTGGTTGCCTGCGGCTAACACTAACAAATGACTTATTTCCTTAGAAATGATGTCATTACTTTGCAAATCCAAAAGGGGGTGGTAGAGTTCTAGATCATTTTTCATTTTTCGTTTTATTCCCCTGGCATTACCTCATCTTATCTTATCTCAAGATAGGGCATATTTTAAACCCACTGTTGACCCAGACTGGGAGCTGTAGTTTAACTTCCCATAATAAAAAATGATATACAATACTAATTGAATTTGAGGTACCACTGCCAACTGCCTTTTTTACACTATGCCTTTAAATAAATGGTGCCTTTCCTTACTCTACCTTGCATGGGAACACTGGGGCCCAACGGCATCAAGCTAAGAAACATCCAACTATGGTCTCATTTTTAAAAAGACATACAGAGTTGAATAACTGATGATGCCGTCAGTTTGGGTCAGAAGTGCCAATCAGGTATCCTCCACCAACTCAAAAATATCAGAGCTGGAAATCTTGTTGTTATGGAAACATGAGGAGAGACAGAGCTGAGGTGTCAACACACTATGGATTTGAAACTGACAGAAAGGTGAGCTTAGAAACATCAACAAGTATGTACATGTGAAGAGGTGAGACTTTGTTTTGTGTGCTGTAGAAAGAGAGAGTGAGAGAAAGATAGGCAGATAGATGAAGAAAGAAGGAGAGAAGGACATAAAAAAAAAAAAAAAATGATAAAGAAAGATATGTTATCGCATAGTTTTGTGTAGTGGAACAAAACTGGAACCTTGTTGCTGTGACTCACAAGGAGAAATAAGGGTGGAGCTTAAAGGTATGAGACAGAAAGAAAAAATGGAACAGACAGATATAACCAGAGATGCAGCGATATAGAGATGAAGGAATAAAAAGACAGCAGGCAGAGGGACAGTTTTAAACGGAAAGAAAAAGCACAAAAATAGACAAAGAAAGATTCAGCATGAACTAAGATATGAACAAGGCCAGGGAAACTGAGACAGAGCCAAAGACAGAGATGAGACAGAGGCAGATAAGGAAAAGGGAGTCAAAAACGGACAAAAGTTATGAAAAGAGACGTGACAATGACTTATGAATATTAGCCTGAAGCCCAGAAGATGAATTTACATTGGAAAGGGAAGAGAAGCCACACCAGGGACAAAAGCACATGAAAAATAGATACAAAGGCTGAGTAAAAGGCTGCACCAGAAATAGAGAGATTGATTTAGAAATCTTCGTGACCTATCAGGTCATTGACATCACTCCAGTCCAACTGGTGCCAGTTCTCAGAGATTTACCCGAAACCCATTCATCCACGAAGTGTTAAAGAATCCCTAAATTATTAAACTGTATAAAGTTTGGAGAGCAAAGAAGAAAAATCTTAAAGACAAGAAATGATGCGTGCATGAATACCATGCCTTCTTGCGTCCCTCCCCTCAACAAAGTGGACTTATGTGCCAGCGATCCCATTAGGGCTGAAGGCAACAGGTTGCTTGGATTATACAGGTAAAATAGCCCAGTCTCCAACGGCAACAGTTTGTTGAAGAGAACCTGCTTTATCGCAGCAGCTGGCACATGCAAGTTAGAAGGCACAATAAGAGAATGGAAGAGCTATTAAAATAATTTCAACAGCAAATTACCCGAAAAGATAGAGAAGAATAATAGGAGGCGACAGACAGACAGACAGACAGACAGACAGACAGACAGAGAGAGAGAGAGAGAGAGAGAGAGAGAGAGAGAGAGAGAGAGAGAGAGAGAGAGAGAGCGCTGTGTGAGAATCACTGGTGCTCCCTCGCTTGCTCTCTCTCTCGTCTCCTTCCCACATACACTTACACACTCATTACACGCACGCACACACACTTCTTGAGCGAGACTGTGGCTCTCTCGGGGAGCAGAGCAGACTCGCGGGGGCAGTCGCCACAGAAAAGGAAAGACAGCGCTGAGGTGAGTTTATAAATTTACTACTTTATACTTTATAAAACATCTTTAATATGTCATCAAACTTGAATAAGTGGTGTGTGTGAAATCATAATCCATCCTGTTGTATTTGTACTGCAGAGGCATAATTAAGTTTCATTCAATATTTGCTCCAAGTCGGCCCTGATTTGCTGGTGTGCATTTCAGCAGCAATTCCTTTAATATTTGTCAAATATTTGATAAACCCTTTAACAGTACCATCAATGAAAATGTGGTTTCATTATCTTTTATCCCTTGTTCATATCAGATTTAGAAGCATTTTTGCTTTTTAGAGTTACAATTTTAAGCATTTCCATGCAAAGATGAGCAAAGGAGAATAAAACATAAGATAGAGAAGCAGTATGTCTGTGGTTAGTGATACGTGACCTCAGTCAGACTTACAGCATCTGAAGTTCCTGCTCTGAATGTCTGTTGGCTCAGTTGTGGGGAAACAACCATGATATAACACAAATTCAAATGTACAGGATTGTGGTTGTTGAGAGTTCAACTGAGTCAATCGGGAGTCTGGTGTGAGCATGTGAACTCTGCACAATGACAAATATACAAAGAGGTCATTTAATCAGTCATAAAAATGAGGAAGTGAGATTATTCTGTGTGCGTGTATGTGTGTAATAGAAGCAAAGAACTAATTTATCTTTCACCTGTTGCTATATTTGTGTCATACATTGAGGTTTGAACTTCACCTTTCACATTCTAAAACAAATACAGCGTGAATTTCCATAGTAACACATCAACAAACAGACATAGATAGACAGATCAATGCAGATCCATAGATCTCATCTTTGGCTTTTATGTTGATAAAGGTCGAGTGTCTGTAGCTGGTGCTCTTTATTTAATGCATGTTCAGACGTTGAGGCTGTCACTGCCGATGCCAACCACCCTGTTTCTCTTCTGTTTGTTAGGAGATGAGAAAAACACCTTTTCTGGAGCCAGTAAAAAAACAGAACTATGCGACATCAGAGAGGGTTAACCCAACAGGTTTAATCTACAATATTATAAGCTAAAGCAGCCACCAGGATACTGAGAGGATGTGGCTAAGTGTCATGACTTGGTCAGAGAACCATATGCGGTACTGAGTATTTCAGCATCTAAACAGCTACGAGGAAGTATAACTGTAAGAAATGAAAATTTGTTGATTCTGGACCTGTGCAACTATGTGTTTGTCTATATAAAGGTCTGTGTTTGTGTCTACTTACATAGGCATTTATTAGGTTTTAGCACTGTACAGAGAAGCTGTCCTGTTGACATAACAAAGGTGTAGTAAGGTCAAGAGTGACACACTGGCACATATCTGTGCCACAGCAATGGAAGCTGTTGGTGTCTATACATATTTTATGTGTCTGATCCCCCTGTCTGTGTACAGTGCCTGTCTGCAGACGTGTCTGTCGCTCAGTGTGTTTTCTTTTCACGCTTCGTCAAGATCCCACAGCTTCCCTCCACTGGTCAGGACGCACAACTGTTACCAAGCAACCCACCATCCCAGACTCTCTCTCTCTCTCTCTCTCTCTCTCTCTCTCTCTCTCTCTCTCTCTCTCTCTCTCTCTCTCTCTCTCTCTCTCTCTCTCTCTCTCTCTCTCTCTCTCTCTCTCTCTCTCTCTCTCTCTCTCTCTCTCTCTCTCTCTCTCTCTCTCTCTCTCTCTCTCTCTCTCTGAAACAAACTGGAAGACATATATGTATGCACACATACACACACAAAAATGCAGACAACTATAGATTGCTTTGCAAAAGGAGAGGAAGTGAGTGAGCCAAGTATTTGGTGCTCAATTGAATTATATTTGGATAAATGAAACATTTGGATGTCTGATTGCATTATGGTGTTGTTACGGATGCTGCGTGCAGGGACAAAAGTTGCTTTCAACATCTGAAGGCCTTTTCAGGATTACAGTCCCCTTTAATTAAATGTTTGTTGATAGTACCATTTAAAATTCCTTGCTTTTCTTTAATTGGTAGTAAATTTAGTCTAAACAACATACAACTTTTCTCAACCAAATCTAGACTTAACACCAGCTGCTGCCAGTTTCACACTCATGTCAAATCTTTTGACAACTCTGCAGTTGACCATCCATTACCAAAATATCATATTACTGAGAAGTACATGGAGTCACTGCATGTATTTGTACTGTGCTGACACAAAGTTTACAAGCATTGTAGAGACTTTCAGTAGTATTGCAAAAATGAGCTAAGTGATTTGGTTGTCATCTTTGGACACCATGCCATACCTTTTACCAACCAATACGTGGCAGATCCACTAACTGTAATTCAGTTTTAATGAGCTGACTGAAGGAATGAGTAAATGAAGTAGAAACTGTAGAAACTGGATAAAAAGTTAATTTCACACCCTGCTGATAATTCAGACCTTATCTCAATATTGCAGTGATTTGAGAAAGTGATTTAATCAATTTCCTGACTCTGTGTAAACAGATTTATACACATTACTTTGCATTAGTGACAATATGCGTGATTACTTTGGTTTCTCATTGAGTTGAAGAAGAACAGATATTCCTTATCCATTTATTTCTAAAAAGACACATCTGGCTGGTAAAAAAAAAGGTTGCAGAATGAACGCATCGTATTTGGAGAATCTCACAAATCAGGGAGCGAGTCCCAGCTGAGAGGTAAATAACCTCATTACTCATCTCTGAGCTCAGACCATGTCTGGTAGAGAGCCACTATTCCAAGATCTTTTCTGCCTGCCTTTCATCACAATACCCAAATTGGGTTCTTTTCACATGGCCACTCATTGCGTAATGGAAGGTCTAGATAGGGTAGAATGAAGTCTTTCCAGCTTATTTGCATCTCTCTTGTGCTGGAAGATGAGGGATAAGGACTGGAAGCTGTCTAGAAGTCAAATACTTTATTATGTCCACTGACTGGTCTCTGTCACCTTAGTTACAAACAGATAGACCTGTCCCAGGATGAACCCTCCAAGCACTCTCCCTCAAAACCAGAAACCTCTGCCAGTTTTAAGCCTGGGATAATACGTTTGGTCGTTTGTATCGTCCGCAGCAGATTCACAATTTAATAATAATGACTCCTCACTTCTTAACCAGCCGGTAGGGGCCACACATGATCAAGAGCTACTTCGGATCAGCTTGTTTGCAGATTTTTTTGGGCATTTTTTGTGGCATTTTTTCACATACATTTTGAATTGCCTGAGGTGTCACATTTACACATTAATTTAGATTAATTTTTAAAATACCGTGTTACAGAATTTAATGGTATGTCATGGTTACATTTTAGACTAAGTGATAATGAAAAAAGGCATGTATTTGTAAACAGTGTCTCAAGATTTGGAAATAAAACAATGTATTAATTTCTAATTTCACCTTTAGATGTTTCTGTACCAAGATTTACTAATGTGCCACAACAACGTAATGTTTTTGAGTTAAAATAACTTAATTTTCCAAGAAAATACTGATATGATTATTTGAATATATTTTTGCCACTCTTTGAAGTCTCCATGCCACCCTCTTGCCACTACTCATGCATACACGCTGGACATACAACCTGCCCAGCATTGCCTGTTCCCCACCCAAATGGCCCCAGACACACCTGGTGGAGATCTGCACTCTACTGAGTGCACTCTAGTTGTCTATTCAAAACATGAAACAGCATTCTCCTGCATAAAACCTCCAAAAGTAGAACAGCCTTTACATCCTGTTGAAAACACAGCACTCAGTAGCCATTACAATCCATTACAGCCCTCAAACTCCACTACTAAGATGTGTGTTTTGGGTTGTGTTAGTGTGTGCATGCACGCCTACATGCGAGTGTGTCTGTGATTATATATACAGATGTTGTAACGCTTGCCATTGTTTTACATTAGGGACAACTAATGAGAAGTTTGTGAAAGAAAACAGATGGTCAGTAATAAAGTAGCACACTGTCTGAATGAGTGATGCTTTATTTACTATACAGTATCATACTTCTCAACATCAGGGTGAATGACTTTAACTGTGACTTTCTACTCTAACTGTCATCTGCATAGACTAACAGAGACTTTTTTACATTTATAAAGGAAAAATGTATGTAAGTCACTTGCATTTTACTTGTGCTAAGTAAGTTTTGTGGTTCTTGATAAGTGAGTGGGCAGGATTGTATATTAATATGGTTTTAATAAAACACAAATGTTTATTCAAAAATAAACACAGGAAACTAATATGGTTATGCTCTCACACACACATGCACTGTAACATGGGAAAGGGAACTTACTAATTCAGCTGAGGGCAGATAAGTATTCCTGTGTGAACATACACACATACACACCCTTATATACATTATGTCCCAGGGTTGAGACAAGGTTACTTAAAAAAACTTCTAGTGACCATAATTCATGTCAATATGCAGACATTCCTCACAGGCCCGTGTTGGATCCAAGCCAAAACTCGTTCCAACTGCGAGTGTGTGTGTGTGTGTGTGTGTGTGTGTGTGTGTGTGTGTGTGTGTGTGTGTGTGTGTGTGTGTGTGTGTGTGTGTGTGTGTGTGTGTGTGTGTGTGTGTGACAAAGCGACAAAGCAACGAAGTGACTGACTGTGTGAGAGGCAGATTTTTTTCATTGATGATGAAAATGGTTAAAATGTGTGGTCTCTGAGTCAGTCTGTGGTTCTGTCAGATAAGAAGACTGAGATGTCATGTGCATTTGAGAGCTGCACTTCATACGTTAGTGGTTGTGTTATCAGTGTTTGCTCTGGATGAAGTTCAAAGCAGTGAGTCAGTGACAGAAATGTGTCCACAGAACAAAGAAGTGAAGATTATTAGGGTTCAAAGATTAGTTCTTGTTTCTACAGACCCAGATTTAATTAAAACCTTTCTTCCTGCGTTTTTTCATTATATCGTCCAATGCTTTCTTCTCGTCTTCATGTGAAGCCAGTGCGTCCACCTCTCGACATCGCTCTCACTCTCTCTCTTTGAGGTGATAAGTGAGTGGCTCTGGACCAAGTCTGGCAAATGTCCCATTATCCATTACAGTGTTAGAAAATAGACGAGCAAACATTACCCACCACCCACTGACGCAAACACATGTACTCCACACACACATCCTCACTTATCAAGTAGTTACCCTCATTCCACCAAGCACACATTAAAAACTCATGCACACATGCCATTAATGAGTTCACAGAGGACAAATAACACTTTGCAACTCTCTCGACAAGGTCCATGTAAGAAAAATCCATAAAAGAATTTCTGTCAACCATACAAACTACCAGAAATAATGTTTACTTGCCATTTGATTAAAAAATGTTTTATGATTTACGGCCAGTGCATTATTCAAAGGCACTGCCACATTATATAATCAAAATATTAATCATATCCAACAATATTGAAATCAAGTCTTAACATCATCTTAGCCTTAGCAGATTGCTGGCTGCTTACACAGTTACACATCTAGTCCTTAGCTGAATAAATACTGTGCACACAACAAGCACACTCATCTGTCTTGCTTTATGGTTTTATTATAGGCCGATTGGAATTCCCATTAGCTGACTTTCTAAAATGGCAGCTTTACTTTTGCTTGTTTTATAAGAAAAATGACAAACATTATAAGTAAGAATACATTTGACAGTAACATGCATTTTTTAAAACCACCATAGTCCTTGTGATGATACATAATGTTGTGACTTGATTAATTATTGCTATGACAGCCATATACTCAATTGTTTACCATCATAAATCTTGCATGCAAGGCTTGGGGCTTTACGTTTAGAATCATACATACATCAACTATGTAGACTTTAGTTTCACAACTCAGCAATCATGCGAGCCAGACCTAAATTTGGTTTGTGTGTCAATAATTAGGGTAGGGTTAGGGTAAGGGTGAGGGTTGGTTTCAGGCATTTAGTTAGTGGTGCTACACATGCAGCCAGTGTCATTTAAAAAGATTAATATTTTAATGTACCAAACACTTTTCAGAGAATAAAGACAGTATTTTGCCATAAATCAGAATTCCCTTGTTCCAAAGGCAGACTTCTGTACATTTTCCCAACAAACTGTGAGTCATTCTGTCAGGGATTACTAATGTTTTATAATTTTTATCAGCTACTACAGACATGGTGCCAAGTTAGTACTTGATTTTTTTTTATTCTCCAGCTCATAATATTCATCCAATAATATTTTGGATACACTGCATTAGTGTTTTCCATCATCTGTACTGTATTAATCCATAGATGGAAAAAAGAGGCTCAGATATGCTCACAGATATACAGTACTTAGTTGCCTGTGCAACACAGTGTTGTCAAACATGAGTAATAATAATGTATCCATATGTGGTTTTAAAACTTTCATCCAGTTATGGTTTTTGAACTTCAATGTATGTAAATTGGGTTAATATAACTATCACAGAGATTGTAATAAATCAACTATCAATAATCATAAAGTTATATATAATACAGTTATAATCAAACCCAAGGAAAGTAACTGCTTTCTGTACTGTAAGCATGGCTGTACAATATCTGAAAATGCAGGAAATACTGTATGATAACCAACTGTGTTTCTTATCTCTGTCCACAAGGTGTCACCAGAGCCATAGAAGATGGTGTTGAAGCCAAGGTGATGTCATGGACCAGTACGAATCAGCCACGCAGACAGAAAGCTGTTTAACACACATCATAGACATTTCAACAGCCAAGGATAGTGCTGATTTGCAATTCTCAGTATCAGCATTTGTCAAGAGACAAATGTTGTTCAACCAACTTCTAGCAAGACTTTTTTGATGAATGTTGTTGTGAATGGGAATGCTGGTGTAGTCAAGTCCCAGGAGAGATGAAATCTATGGTTAGTTGGGTTGAGGCCCAGCAGGAACAGCAAACAGTCAAGTAAATTAGTAGCTAAGACAGACGAAATACTGGGAGAGAGAGGGAAACAGGATTAAGTCACATTTGACCATAGGGACCCGTAGATTAGATTGTATGCACTTTAATAAACGGGAGCACCCAAACGCACGGAGTGAACATATTTAATAACATTACTTATGAGCCTAAGTCTTGTAATTCTTCATTCAATGCAACAACTGAGACATCTCATCAAGTTTAAAACTGAAAAGAAAACTATGGTTCACATAAAAGGTCCAGCAATGATGTCATCAGATTGTCTCCAGTGAATCACCAGCGATAATGTTGTCAAACGTGATGCTGGGTGTCCTCCTGTCCCTCCTCATCCTTCTTACTGTCGGCGGTAACGTGCTGGTGTGCCTGGCTGTCTGCGCCTCTCGACGCCTCCGCTGCCTCACTAACTGCTTCATTTTGTCACTGGCTGTCACAGACCTGCTGCTCGGCCTCTTGGTCCTCCCCTTCTCTGCCCTCCTCCAGCTCAACGACGATTGGCCGCTTGGCCCGGTCTTCTGCAACTTCTACATCTCCATGGATGTCATGCTGTGCACTGCCTCCATCCTCACACTCCTGGCCATCAGTGTGGACCGCTACCTGGCAGTGACCATGCCTCTGAGATACGCCTCACTGGTGTTGCCATGGAGAGTTGCTGTGGCCATGGCCAGTGTTTGGATAGTGTCTGTGGCCGTTTCTTTCTTGCCCATCCAAATGGGGTGGAATACTGTTAATGGGACAGTGCAGAACCGCGGGCCTTGGGCTCCAGAGAGGAAATGTCGTTTTGAGCTGAACAGACCCTATGTGCTGACTGACTCTCTTCTCACTTTCTATCTGCCTCTGATTGCTATGTGCTGGACCTACCTCCGAATACTCCGCATTGCAAGGGCACAGGCCAAACGCATTATCAGTGCCCGGCCCACTTGCATCACTACCTACAACTGCAGGAACAATCCTTCCACCAGTACCACTGTGGTTTCCAGTGTTACAGCAGTGGCTCTGCGGGAGCACAAAGCCACAGTGACACTGGCTGCAGTGATAGGGGCTTTTGTGGTGTGCTGGCTGCCGTATTTCATTCTGTTCACAGTGTTGGGCCTAAAGGAGCATCCAGACCCTAGCACAGTACCAGAATTTCCCATTGTGTTGTGGCTGGGTTACACCAACTCAGCCCTCAACCCTATCCTCTATGGAGCCCTCAACAGGGACTTCAGGTCAGCCTACGCCCATCTACTGAGATGTCGATGCCCCACTTACAGTGGTTGGAGGAGCCGGCAGCCGTCTCCCACTGTAACAGCAGGTAAAACTGTAGAAGTTTAATTCCATTGATGTTTCAGAAGCACTTTCATTTAGGAGTGGACATTTATTTCAGACGAGTGTGAATACATAATAAGGTTCTTATCTCCAGTTTCTCCAGTTTTTATTCTTCCTTTCATTCTCCCCGTCAGCCAGAGGAGAGCTTACAGAGGTGACACTGCTGTGTGGCCACACCCCTTCTACTTGTAGAGCTGGTCAAACAGATGAAAATTTCATGCTTCAAGAAATGGACAGCAGGACAGCCACAGCAACTATCCAATTTGCAAATGGCACTTCTGCCACAGATGTCAATGGCAATGAGAGGTAAATTATTGTTCAGGATATACTTACCTTCATGAACACAAACACAAAATTACATGACCTGATATGATGCAGAAAAGCTCATGTCAGCAATGGAGTTCTTGCATGCAGAGTCATGCCTCAAAAATAATCAAATACAAGTACTTTAAAAAGTGAGATACTTCACATCGAAATTAGTGTTGAAAATGCTACAAGTTCTACAGTACATTCACTCGTGTGTATACACAGCCACACCCACCCACACACACACACACACAAACACAAAGGTGTTGTACTTTTCTCATCTTTCATTCATTTCTATGAGCCCAGGTCGTGCTGAGCTTGTGCTGGTGAGGTGGATGCTGTGTTCACTATACTGTGGTTGCAACCAAGAACCAGAATCCATCAGCCATCAAGAAGACAGACAAAAAGAGCGACAGAGATTTACAGCCCCTCTATTTGGAAGCCTTCAGTGCCACAGTATAAGCACCTATAATACACCATGTAAGTAGATACACATGACATCCATATAGCCCCCACTGTTCATGTCAGGCCCAGAATAAATGAACTGTGACACAAAGATCCTAGCAGTGTCATCCACAGTGCATCAGGCCATATGGCAATGTGTTTATTAGGCCAAGAAATTTGCTCTCAGCACATCAGAGACACGTTATCCAGTTTCACATCCTGCTCTCATTTCTTTGTTCGCACTTTGTGAACAGCGTTGCTTTCTATGTGCACGTTTGTAAAGTGTGTATTAGTTGAAGCAAAAGAACTACAAAAGTATTTTTTCTTTGTGATTACAAATGAAAAAAAATCCATCCTCTGCTAGCACACACACACACACACACACACACACACACACACACACACACACACACACACACACAGTAAATCCCATACACAAGAGCTTTGTAAGTATGTTCATCATGCACTGTATGTGTGTGTATGTATTAATGATATCCTCAGATTTGCAGCCTAGTAATTACCATTTTAAATACATTAAAAGTGCAACATTAAACAACACTTCCCAAAATTCACCATATCAGCCAGTTTAAGCACAGTTTTATATGGTAAAAAAACAACAACCAATTAATCATGCCTGGTCATGTCTTAAACAGGAAGAAATCCTCACAGCACTCAGAGAGAGAGCTGTTTTACGCAACTATTTTGAATCTTCTGTTTTGTTGTTTTGTTTTTAATCAGCAAAAAAGAAAAAACTATGAACTGTACATTAATGGAAATTTATTTCTAAAACAAAAGTCTCATTACAGCAGTTCCTTGGTGAAACAACATCCTTTTATGTGAACAATTTTTAACCTCTCTAGCACCGATTATACCTCCTAAAAAGTTTATGTGCAGCCCCGTATTGTATGTGATTATTGACACAGCAAACTCAAGAGTCGGAGCTAAACCACACATACCCACAGTGGTGAAGTGAATTATTCTTTCCTCCCCGCATATTGTACATATTGATCCTCTCCATTTTTGTGTTTATTCTGCCACTTAGCAATCAATCCATAATCTAACAAACAAAAATGGGAGAAAATGGGACCTCAGCAACTCCACACCTCATCAGCAACCTTCATCCGCCCAGGAACAAACAAATGATGATGCTTCTACATGGATGGGGCTAAAAGTCTAGCATCCAACCATCAAACGGGGTAACATGTGGCCCTGATATGCTCTTGAACTAACTGCAGATTGTATTTAAGCTCTGGAGGACTAAACAAGACCAGGCAATTAACTTATTGGTCATCAATTTTATGAACTACATTTTTTATCTATTTTTTATCATGACTCAAGAGTGCACTCCAGTGGAAACACGAAGTAGCACAACTTTAACCTGGACAAAGTAAATGGGAATGCATGTTTCACAAAATGAGGGAATGGAAGGGAAAAGGTGATAAATGGACTTTAACTACATTTATTATCACTTAATGTGGAATGTGTTGAAATGTGTGAAATTTAAATGTGTAGCATGCAAACTAATGTTATGTATCTATTTTGAAAAATGCAGTCGCCTCCAGACTTCGTCTTTACTGTTGCACATTCAGTGGCGTAAAGCTGGAAAATGCATGTATTGTTATCATACTGTAAAAGTAACTGTGGACTGAAAACATGGCATGTACCGTTCCTCCAAAACAGAAAATTACAACCATACTGTACCAATAAAGAGCATCTTAAATAAAGAATACAATACAGATTCGCTATATTTAAAGATTGATAGGAATTATCATGTGGGATTATACATAAAACATATAAGTGGAAAAGAATGGAAACAATTAATCACAACTGACGCATTCATTGCCTCAAACTATTGCCACATTAACCCTTAACCTTCTCCATACTTCAAGCAATTTCCTTTGAGGACTGACAGAAGTGTACATAATATCTATCAGCATGTCAGGTACCAACTAAAAACAAGTAACGAGGGGATTTTACAACCCATTCAACCACATATAAACACTTATTTGGTATTTATAACAACTAGTCATTCCTTACATTCAGCTCCATTTATACTTTAATCCAGGTTAGATTAGCTGACAATAAACGCTCTATAATAGGAACTTCATCCTCCACATTCAGTCACAGATCTGTTGATCAATGAGTAACTCCACTGGAGCAGTTGGTTAAATGATAGGTTCAGATTTTTTTAAAGGCTATCTTTCATGCCATATGTATTCAAACCATCCCTCCTGTCTGTGAGGAAGTGATCCCTTTCTAGTGTGACAACACTATAAAAAATGACAGACATCATACACAGTCCTCCTCATTAAGCCAGTGACATTTATGTCAAGCAATTGACCATTTATTATAGAAAAATGGTTTTACTGTATTATTTGGTGGAAAATGCTTTGCTCTTTATGGGGCTAGGAAAATATCAGAGGATTCTGCAGAGAGAGTTACTCCCCCAAACACATACAGTAACAGCACAGACTCAAAGATAGATGTAAACATACATTAATATTAGAGCTTAGCAAAACAAACCTAAGAAGAGGTTGTAAGGTGAAGGTAGTTGTGGCATCAGGAATCAGCAGGGTAAAAGGAAGAACTTCAGTTTATAATGGCCACTTTGCACACAAATGTGACTGGATATTACTATTCAGCTGGTAGCTAACTAGTAACAGATGATCCATAAAGAAGCCAATGATACCAAGCATGAATGAGACAGCAGCTGACATGAGGGCAATTGAGTTTTCCGCCTAAACTACCAAAGAGCCTAATTTCTGTGCAAAGCTAATATCTGCAAGCTGAGTTAAGGTACGGTCACATTACACTTCAGTCCACTGAATATTCGCTCCATCTCCCATTCACTTCATTTGAAGCCCACAACGGTGCAATCTCCTTTGTTCAACTTTGAAGTGGATGTGCTTTGAAAATGTAGAATTTACTATTCCACCCAGTTATTATATATATATATATATATATATATATATATATATATATATATATATATATATATATACACATATAAATACATTATTCATACCAACTATACATTGTCATACTACCTGACAACAAATTGTAGCATCGCTTTCAAACACTGTTTAGATTTTGTGATCGCTCTGAGCAATATTCATTTCACATCAGAAATGTGACATTTTAAGGCTGCATGCAGGGAAATTTCCTTCAAGAGAGGGGTAAATGTGACCATATCTTTAGCCGGGCTGTTTGTGGCTTTATTGCCAGTGCGACTACCAGGATCAATCGAGCCAGCATGGCTCAGCAAATGAACACTGTTCATGTACACACAAAGAAACATTTCATACTAAAGACACTGCAACTCTGACAGATACCCCCTTAACTTGACTGCTTTCTTTCCATGTACTGTATATATGGCATGTTAGTATTTTATTAACAAACAATGACTAATTCAAATGTATAATTTACTAGTAAGTACCTTTAAAAGGGCTTTTTTTTAAATTCAGACTCACTGTGAAGAAAATAACAAGCGGATGCAGTAAATATTTAATTTAGGGTTTTCATGGCTGAAAACCAGAGTGGTTAATAACTTGGTCTTATCTGTACTCTGTCCTCTCTAACTGAAAGAGAAAGACATTTATTGTGCTTTTCACTCCTTGAGTCTCTCTATTCCTACATAAACATCATGTGTCTCTTGGTAATTCTGGTCAGCTGCTACCCTTCTCCATCTCTCTCCTTTTCAGAGTGACCACTGACAGCTCAAACTACATGAAAACCATTCATCATTGCTTCTTTAACATCAGATTAATGTGGGGAAAAACAGAACATATAGACTCTCTTTCTCTCTCTCTCTGTCAGTCTAATACGCACACACACACACAAATACTGTACACACACCCGACTAGCTCTGTATAAGCTATCAATCATAGATATTGTCATTATTCAACTGTGTCATCGACAAGCCTCTCTCTCTCTCTCTCTCTCTCTCTCTCTCTCTCTCTCTCTCTCTCTCTCTCTCTCTCTCTCTCTCTCTCTCTCTCTCTCTCTCTCTCTCTCTCTCCTTTCTCTCTCTCTCTCTCTCTCTCCTCTCTCTCTCTCACTCACACACACTCACACACACACACACACACACAGAAGAGAGAATCATGAATCATAAATCTTATGAATGCCATCTAAAGACTGCTCAGTGCTATGAGAAAGAGAGATGATTGATAGATGCAAGTGACTGTGGCGAAAGCAAAGAAGATGGACAGAAGGTTGTAACCAACAACACCGAGGTCAGAAACTGCAGTTCAAGGGTCAAACATATCGGAGGAGGCGCAATATGGCCAAGAAGGGAGGAGAAAATGGGGGGGAGGAAGGGAAGGAGTAAATGGTTGAAGGGGAAGGGAAAGAGGAGGGAGGAGGACGGGTGTGTGTGTATGGGGGGGGGGATGCTGCCACAGCGAGGCTAAAGCCATAACTCATCTTTTATTAAAAATAATGAAAAAAACTTAATGAGTTAATAATATCATGGAGAAAGAGATAGGGAGTGAGACGGAGATGGAGGAAGGGACAGGAGGACGGAGGAGAGGAAGGAAAAGAAGAAAGGAAATGAGCGAGAAAACGGCAGAGATAGAGAACAGAACAGGGTCAACGTGTGTCTCTTTTTGCCCTCTGGTCATTTATTCCAGTTTACAAAGTTCACACAAGATCCATTACAGCAGCAGGGACAATCATAGCGATCCCCCTCTTTCTGCCGACCTAAATCCCAAAGCCTGCCTGGTAATTAAAGGCACTTAACAACCAATTAACAATGATGAGCTAAATTAGCAGGATATTGTCTCCTTTGACTAGGCTACTGCATTATCAGTGTATTGAAACAGCGATGAACAAACCTCAGTGGCCCGTGTTTGCATGTAGGCAAATGACGGATTAATTACTATTAAAACATCAGCATCTTAATGAGCTTGGAAACAATTAGAGAGGTCGTTAGCATGTGGAGAACGGCTGAGAAAAGAAGAGGGGGGGAGTGAATACAAAACAAGAGAGAAATCTTCATTGCGAAGCAATACTGATTAAATGGACGTACGGTCGCACTCATCGCCCAATATCCACGGACCTATTAAATACATGACATCACCATTTGTCTTTTCTACCATCAAGCTACTTTTTCTCCTGCCATTATCTTTCCCCCTTCTTCCCCGGCTTCCCCAACTCTCTGCCTTCGCTTCGCCTCTCATAAAAAGCCTTTTTCTTGCTCTTCCATTCCTTTCTCCACTTTCTGCTTTTTCACTCCCATTTCTTCCTTCCCTCCTTCATGCTTGGGGGGCACAGTCCTGTGAAGGAATTTAATATGCAACTTTTATATGAGAAACCAATCGCATACGTCTGGGTCTATTGGGCTCGCAATCTATCGGCCCGGACGGCTAATGCAATAGAGAGAGCCGGGGCTATTTATCACACAGGGAGCTATCTTTTCCTCTCTCTCTCTCTCCCACTCTGCCCTCGCTCTCTCTGTCTTTATTCAAGCCCAGATTCCTGGCTGCCACTAAATCAGGCCAACTATGAGCTATGGCTGCCCAGAGGGCATCTCCTCTTTTATAGGGGGATTTGGATTTTGTATCTACTGGTTCCTCAGTGGTCGTTGAGACTGTGCTAACGGAAGCTATAAACATTCAACAAACAAAGGCAACAACTTAAATGTCCCTCCGTCCCCACTGTAATGATCATGAACGTGTAGAGATATATGGAAGTTGGAGAATGCATAAACCTGATGAATACGATATCGTGGCATTTACAATGATGCTTCAAAGATTTGTTTGTGTGCATGTCTTCAGACAGAGAGGCAGAAACGCATACAAAGACTACACATGCACAGACGTGTGTACACGTACTATACTGCTATAGTAATATGCTACAGTATAATTCAAACAGTATCACCGATACTACGCACAGCAGAAGCACAACTTCAAAAGTTTCCTGCTGAAAAACAAAAGTGACAGTGCAGAGAATGCTGCCCACCTGCAGCAATTAAAATGCCTCCAAAAACCAAATTCATTTCAACAAATTAGCCACATTACTGGCCACTGTGTAATCGCTGATGGCAATTAATAAGAAATTAGTCACAATCAGCCCTATATTAACATCTCACCCAGGGGCCGCGGCTGGAAATTAATAACCAGAGATTCATCTCTCTTACTGTCTTTCTGGCTCCCTCTCTCTCTCTCTCATCACGCGCACACACACACACACACACACACACACACACACACACACACACACACCTTTGCCCACCTATATTGTTCATGAATCTCCTCTAAGACACTGATTTTTTCTGTGTGGATTGTCTCATATGATCCGCAATCTGCTCATGTCAGCTAGCCAGCTTCCTCTTTACCAGGGTGTGAAAACCCCCTGAAAGACAGGAGTGTGTGTGTGTGTGTGTGTGTGTGTGTGTGTGTGTGTGTGTGTGTGTGTGTGTGTGTGTGTGTGTGTGTGTGAGAGAGAGTGTGTGAGTGTATTTTCTAACCAGTGCATGTACAGTCAACACATGCACATACACTTTGAACACTTTGTACACATGTGAACACATATACAGAAATATATCATACACTGTATATCTCTATGGTGTGTACTGTATGTGTGTACTGTATGTGTGTGTGTGTGTGTGTGTGTGTGTGTGTGTGTGTGTGTGTGTGTGTGTGTGTGTGTGTGTGTGTGTGTGAGAGAGAGAGGTGCTACACAAATGGGGAGGGGGTATCGGTGGAGACTGGGCCCGCCTCTAGGGGTCCTCACA